TTGACTCTAAACTGGATCACTGGTTCCACTGCCCACTGTTGTACAAAATCCAGTGGCTAGGATACAAAGGTACCAATGAAGAATTTGCTTGATTACCAGTCTCTGAGTTCTCCACCAATGAATTCATTAAAGAATTCCACCACTGATACCCAGGTAAACTAGGACCCTTGTCCAAAGTCATTCAAACATCCCATTCCTAATACAATGCTACTCTGGACACCACCAGTGCCCCATCTTACTATTTCAATTCTAACCACTAATCACTACCATTTCAATCACCTCTTTTACACTTTCAAAATCAAAATCTGGTATTTACATTTTTTTTCTCCACTACCAACATCTGATGCCCTTTTCTATATACATTTCATACAAATATTTTACAAAGATACAGAATCCAATGAGCCTGCACCGAAACCCAAACTCTCTCCCTGCTCCTTCAACTCCTCTATATCCTTGTCCAGCCTCTTCAACATTGCCTCCCAAAGATCCTCCACCTTTTGATTCCTCTCATCCTTGAAAATCAGTCAGGCCTTCTTCCAGGCCTCCACCTCAGACTCCAAAAACAGCTCTGAAGGAGACAACATATCATCAGAACTGTAATCGTCTTGAAGACCTGCCACAGTACTATGAATATCTGCCATCTCATCCACCAACTCATCCATGCGATGCATCAACTTGCATATCAATTTTGAAAGTTGCTGGAGACTAGCAGAGACCTCCACACTGCTGATCACCTCACTCACGGTGATGCCCTTGTTAAACAAACAGGCAGTTTTCTTGATCTTGCAGCAAGAGTAAGTCTGCCCTTGACTGGTGTCTTTGGTTACCAGTCATGCATAACACTGTGCACCATCTTGATGACAACACACACAACTCTCTGAAAACAAAAGCTAAGTTAAGCCATAAAAGAAAACCAAGACACTTACTTTCACCATCCAACAATTCTTCACTCTCCACTGGTCCTGCCACTTCTAACTTTGCCCCCTTTTTGGGGCTAACAACCACCTCTGTCTCACTGCCATCCACTATGCTCCTCAACCTGAACTTGCATTTATGGCTCTTCTCCACCAGACCTGCTATCCTTCTCTTCCCCTCCTGCACCCTCTTCCTCCTCTCCAGAGTCTCCTTGGATTTCTCAGACTCATCGTCCCCCTCAGTCCCCTTGTTCTGCTCATCATTGGACCCTAGAGGTGCATGGCAAGTCACCTTCTTGAAGCAAAGACCAGAACCAGGACCAAACCATTCTGCCAACACTTGATGCAGCCAGAAATCAATGGCCTCTATGGGGGTTATTTGCAATCCATCCTCTGTAACCATCCTCTCTGGCTCTACCTCCTCAGCCTCAACCCTCGCTGCTGCCTCCACAGCCTCTCTCTCCTCTGCCTCCTTCATCCACCTCTCCATGGCCTGCTGAACCTTCTCCCTCTTCCTCTCCAATTCCTCTCTCTGCTCCTTTTTTTATGACTCCTGGGCCACATGGTCTGCCTGGGCCCTTTCCTCCTGCTCCTGCTCCCCTTGCCACTTCAAATGGCTCTCCATGGCCTCTGCATATTCTTTCTCTACAGTTTGCCATTCCAGATGAAACAATTCCTTGGCCTCTTCAGGGCCATCAGGGGTGGATCCCCTCACCAGAGGCTCAGGAGTGCATAAGCAATGATACATGGTGAGCAACGACATAGACAAAGATGGTGGTTTCAGTTCAAGCTGCAAAACTCCCATGGCCACCAACAATCTTCCATGTGGCCCCACTGGCCATCAGAATCTGTGCTCTTGAGGGCAAGAATGCTAAGGGGGGGATACTGTTACATGCATGCTGCCAGCCTCTGTGTCACCTCAACCAACCATGAATCCAATCATGCTACCCACCAGACTCCAGCCACTTCCTATTATCTACTAATTTCATTTCACTATTATCATTTCACATCCATATTTCATATTGTAATATCTAGACCCCAAACTCAGTAGTGAATACTGACACCAGAACCCGATGGAATCTGACTTGGAATTAGTTACCATTAGTATATAAAGCCATGTACATCATTGTAACTACTCAGTTTGAATATCGACTTGGATAAGCCATCTACACTTCACACTCACTTCAACTCCTCCTGACCTCATCTATTGGATTCTGCTCCAAAGGATATTCAGATTCACTTCTCTGATGGAACTCTGTTCTGTCCACCCAGATCCTTAGGCTCCAACTCAAGGGTGATGTTGCCAATAGCTTTGTTGATGTCCATGCACTCCGCTGGACTCCACACATGCACTCAAGTCCACTTGAATTGGCACGTTCCTAACAAGATGCCTACACTTATCTCTAATTTAGCCATTAGAACAATGATCTTAAGGAGGGGGTAATGTTATGATTTTTTCACATTTCTATCTTTTATTCAAGGAATTGACTCCTATCTTTGATTAGTCAGAGCATCTAACCAGTGCTTAAGACCATGCAACTGGGCTTAGTCATCACAACAATGCCTAGTCAGTCATTGTCCTTTGATGCAATGGTAACTGCTCGACAACAGACAATACCCTTTTGTAGGTAGCTTAACAACACTGGACAAAACACTCTATAATGCAAGAATACACAATTAGGTAGTTATATCTATAGAACAGACAATAACTAGTATATAAGTAGTGTAGCTCTCACTGTAGTATCTCCAGCTTCAAGCTAAAGTTTATTTCTTCATTATCTTATCTCAAGCCAATCTAAAGGCCTTGAGACACAAAGCCACATAGCATATCAAGTGAACTCTGACATCATTGTCTGAAGTGTGAGACAGTGTCAGTTTATCATGTGCTTAGATCATGTGTCATTTGGGCTTAACAAATTGTGGATATTGGATTATTGTTATATATCAGTTGTACTGTGTGTTCTCCTTGACTGATTTAGAGGCTAGGGCAGGGCCACATAACCTAGAGTAAGAGAAACAACAAAGTAAGAACTAAGAGAGTGAGTAAGTAAGATGTATATAGGTATATGAGAAAGTGCATATACCTCAGTCAGCACAGTATAGGTGAAATGACCAAGGTAGTAGATCTACTCTTCTGGTATATATACTGATGTGTGAAGTATAGGGATACAGATAAAGAAAAGAGTGGCATACATTATAGATAATAGATGTGGGATCATGGTGGGTATCCCATGTCTAGTTCAACAAGTTAAGGCAGAGTTGAGATTGATATAGAAAACAAATATTATTGAGATTCAGATATAGAAAATATGCAAATTCAGGGCATACAAAGTCTGTAGGCTTATCAATGTCATAAAATATATTTTTTTAATAAAGTGTCATTCAATGTTTAACTTATTCAATTTATTTTAGTAGCATGCAAGCTGTACAAGCCTTGCACATATCTTAGTTCACTCAAAATAGTTTCTAAGTTAAATATATTCTCTCATCTCTAAACTGATTTCTAAACACTCATCTCTCAAGCTAGTGTCATGACTGCAGAGATCTGAAAGCTCTCCTTCTGCATGTAACTACTGCTCTTTTATCTACCACCAACTATATGAAATATAATTATTAAATATAGAATTATCTCAGATGAGACTATTTTCCTATGCACATCATACAGTCTTCAGTCATAAGTATTGGGCTTTTACTCAGCACTCTGAATCAGAGCACATTATTCTGCTATTATATTTCTCTTGGCTAAATCTAGCCCATCATGTTATGTCTGGCATAGCTTCTGATTGGCTCCACAGAATTAATATTAATGTCAAACTACTTCTCTAGTGAATAGTCTCAATCTAATTTGTTACTACACAATGTTGTCTTGCCTTGGGTAATTATTATTGGTAAGAAAATTATCTCTTTTCAGCTGATATCTTGTAGAATAATTGAATCTAGTCTCTCTCTCCAATATGATGAATCTCTCATTAACTGCCAGATCAACAGAGATAGTATGTCATAGATCAATATAGTGCAAACTTTAACTAGCTGTGAATCAGTCCTTTTAATCAACTTTAGTTTTCAAAGGTTCAGCCATGTACTTCATGTTTAATTAATTCTTTTAATGTGTTTCTGCTTTGATAGTATATGCTCTACTTTATCTTGATCTTAGAATATTAATCTCAATGTAACTAAATGGTTCTACTGACAGAACTCACAAAATTACATAGATAAATGTATTATGCACAATATTAACAGAGTTTAGGCTCATCATTGTCATTGTGAAGCTACAGATAGGATTATCAGTCTGACCTCTAAGAAGAGATTTTCTACTTCTGAGCTGGCAGTGATTGAACTTAAAGAGCACTGAAAAGACATCATTATTTCTTTAAAAATACTTAAACTATATTAGTACTAAAAGAGTAGGATAGTGCATCTCACTCACCTTCTACAATATTGATAATAGTTACATCAGTAATATAACAAGTAAGAAGTCCTTTGACAAGGATTGTAATAACATCCAATTGATAGTGGCTGAGAATAAGAAAGAGATATTGCTTCCTAAAATCATCAAGAATCAAAGGGTGGCTGATGATCAAAAATCCAACAGAAGCCAGATCACCCAGGTCTGCCTGTAAACTTGCTAATTTCAGAGTGAAGAATGTAATAAGGAGTAGAGTACTATCATCATTCACAATATGAGTTATGATACAATAATTTGTAACCCATTCTAGATACTTTGGAGTTGCCTTGGAGGGTGTTTTATGAATTATCTATTTGATTGAAAGATAAATATTTTTCATGTGGAATAACAGACCCAAAAATTAGAGAGTGAATGACTACAAAATACACTGCAGCTGGAGGATACAGTGAGTACAATATAAAATGAAAGCTTGTGAGCTGAAAAGATGAGTTTCCTTCTGTTAAATAAAACAAAAGAACTTACAAATAGTGGACAAGGCATATAAAGATATCAGAAGAAAACAAACTGTCTGCATGAGACATCTTGGTCCGCGTTAGGAAGTCAACCTTCCAAAACAGTGCACCCCTGATAATCCTAACACTGACAAATACTCCGTCATCCTGGTTACGCTACCGCGGTCCGTCCCAACCTTACCACCATCACCTTGCTTGTCGGTATTTCTGTAACAGCTCATTATTATTATTTTTCTGTATCTTCCGTGCGTTCCAAGGTTCCCCTCAGCTTTTCAAAAAGCTAACTCAAATTCGCTACAGACTTCTTTATGACCTCATGACATGGAATCCATAGACTACATCGACATCCCCCCTTGTGCAACCCGAATAAAGTCTTCATCCACCAAATCAAAGCCGCGCCCTCATCCCACTCCTTCACCAATCCGCACGTCGTTGCCGCACCAACCAGACAATTCCCATCCTCAACCAACCAGCTTACTCTCACCTACAAATGCCGCCCTCAACTTCCTACCCAGCGTTCTCCTGACTTCGGTGCCTACGAACTCACCTCCAGATAAATCAAATAAGCGGAAAACAAGCCAGCAGCCTTTGCTATCTGTCAAGGACCCGCTTTCTCTGGCCATAATGTCGGCAAACTTTCGGCGTTTCGTATCCAAGGTCGGACCGGTGTTTTGGTTGCAGGATCGTGTGGAAGAGATTGTGATGTGGAGGAGAGGGTGGAAGGTTACATCAACGTGGATAGCCGCGTGCGCGTTCCTTTGTGCGTTCGTCTCCTCAGCTTGGTGTATTCTTGTCTGACCGCTGTCTCAGGTTACTTTCCTCGGCTTCTACTACTCTTACCTCAAGTAGCCGTCATAGCGGTTATCCTGGCAACGTATAAATACACACCGCCATCCTCTGATACATCGCCTGTCCAAGAGGAGGAGAGTGTAGCATGGCAAGCCAACATTCAAGCCATACAGAACCTCATGGGATTCTAGTTGGTCTTTTTCTCATCTTTCTCCTCCTTGTCTCATAATTCCTTGTAGTTCTGATGCTTATGATGCTGTCCAGCCTCTGGTTCTCAATCTCACCCACCGAACCTCCTTTACCCTTCCCCTCCTCACAATCGTAACCCTGAGCCTTATACCCGGGGTAGTACTCGTCTCCCTACCCTCCCTCCCCATTCGTATCATCTGTTTCTCTCTGGGGATAGTGCCCCTCGCGCTAACCAATCCACACGTCCAGTCATCACTCCTCATTCTCCGCCATGTCGACAGAAACTTCTGCTGGCTCCGATATAAGCTCGGACTAGAGTCTAAACTCCCACTGACAACTTTCGTCCAGCGACTCGTCGACGACAATAACCTCTCCGACTCGTGTTGGACTGCAGAGATGCGCGAAGTGGAACTGTTTGAGAACGAGCGCCATCTGGACGCCCAGGGTGGGACCGAAAAGAGCTGGAGCAAGGAGAATTTGAAGAGCGACGAGCGAAGCGCGTGGACGAGAGGTCCTGATGGTCTAGGTGGATCTGTTAGGTCCATGCGTTTCTTTTACCTGTGATAATTAATTACTCATCGACGCTGTCTGTGTAGCAGCAATTTGACATTTACGCTCGAACCTGGGTGGTACTTTGTGCAAACCGAAGATTGGAGGCTTGATGTAGATGCGATATGGGCTGCACGGGGCGGGGATTCGAGTACGCGTCTGTTGTCAATGACCCCTTTGCTCCTTTACTGATCGTCTTTTGTTAGATGGCTGGGTGTACACCAATGATTCCTGGCTGGATCCTCGGTCGACTAACACTGGCGGGGCTGCGACCCGGAAAAGGAGGTGGATGCGGAGGATATGGTACAATCCTCCAGTCGACAGCTAGCATTCTCTTTTTTTGCTTCTATTACACGAAGCAATGCATACAGAGAGATCACCTATGCCTGTTTGATGAAAGATCTCCTGGGACCTTGTTCGAGCATCGATTACCGTTTTCAGCATGTTCAGCCTTCAGTGTGGGGCTTTTGCACGTCAGTTCTTTGCCATCTCCTTGAAAGTCTAATAACTCCGATGTGATTGTACACTTCGGAGGCAGAGTATGTGGTGAATGATGGAAGGGAGAGGAGCGCGTCTCTCTGAAGAGATAAGTGCGTTCAAGATGAGTGTTTCGGTACCAAGTAATCATGAGCTGGGCAAATTCTCGCTTCACTTTTTTAAGAGCATGGCGTGCGAATCACCCACCCTTCATAACAAGAATAGCCCTGACGCTCACTCCTTCGAGTCCGCAAGATATTCTGTTCTTTTTGAGTTTATGATATGTGTAACCAAAAATCTACAGTCCCTGTATCAGATCGACATCCGTGGTATCTTCCACCAATCCACCTCCATCAATAACCTTGCACCCAATATCGTCTCTTCCAGGCTCCTTGAAGAACCCATCCCCGCTGACATACACCTCCTTCGTCTTCCGCTCCAGGACCAAATCCTCCGCAACCAACCTCAGCCACTCAATCACCGGCTTGGTTATCCACCGCGTCACCGCGACGGATCCCTGCTTGCCGACCTCGAACCAGCCGAGATGTCCACCCCCGGGAGTGAGAGCGAGCACCACACTCGGGTTGTCCACATCATCCGGGACCTTTTGCACGATGGGGTCGTCTGCGGCGTTGAGCGCGAGCAGCGGTACGCGCACGTCGGGTAGCACATAATGGCTTGAAGCCCATGTGTAGTATTGCTTCGCCGACGGGAACGGGAATACCGGAGGAGCACCGCCCGCCTTGGACGTAAAGGCGTCGTCGAATTGCTCTAGCGTGGGGGACTTGAGAGCGAAAGCGGCGTGCATCGCTGTGGTGACGTAATGCCCTGGTCGACGGGACAGAACGACGGTGTGTCGAGAGAGAAGACGAAGGAGATTGCTGGCCATGCCTTTAGAGTAGACGTATTTCCCCCACAGGGTGCTTTCCATAGCGTCGTTATTCTTGCTGAGATCCCATGGCTGTGATATTGCAAGTCAGTTAGAGAAAATGAAAATAGGACGTTAGCGACTGTTTAGCCCAGCCCAGCCAATCGCAAGAAAAGGATAGTAAACCGCGCCGCTGAAGTTTACAGCTGTTACATACAGCTTGACAGTGACGTACTCTTTTTGCAATCGAAGAGAGCGGTCTGAACTTGATCATAAACCAGGTGATGCGGACTTGGACAGGAGTCCCAAATTTTCGGTTTATGACAAAGTCCGATGCTTCCTTTCTCATCCACAAAACCACAATAGGCTGTCGACCTGGATGCAGATGGGTGTAAGATGACGAAAGAAAGATCGGACTTGGTCATAAACTAAATTTTAGGAGTGCAGAAGAGGTTGTAAGAGCCATAAAATAACCATAACCCTAACACCATGGTTTATGATTGAGTCAAAATCACCTCTTCACTCGCACAAAAGCAGCATCACTGACAAGCCCTGGGAAAACCTACTGCAGGACTAAACAGCCGATACACAGCTGGTAGACTTACACAGGCCAATACACATGCAGACGACAGACGACTGTGCTCCTTCTCTTCTGCGAGGTATCGCACAATGACATTGGCGCCCAAGGAGAATCCTAGACCAAGTAGTGGTGCCTTGGGGTACAGCTGCGAGATGTACAAAAGGGCCTGGCGCAAATCATCTGTGTATCCAGCTGAATAGAACTGATGGCTTGTCAACGGGATGCCAGCACCTGAAAGGGTAATGTGATGAATGGGGTGGGGAAAGAAGAAAGGTAACAACACCCACATCCACGAAAGTTGATCACCACCGCTCTGTATCCCAGTCCGCCCTTTTCCACCGGTAGACAAGCCGCCGCCAGGATATTTCGGACGTAGGATTCGTGGGAGCCACCGGTGAGGCCATGCATGACAACGACGACAGGTGTGTCGTCATTGAATGAGTCTTGATTCGGCGGTGTAGAGTCCAGTCCTCTATCGACAACTAAGTTTTTCAAGAATAACGAAGACAACAGCCATAAACTCTCACAGTGTACCTCCATCGACCAGCCGAAGATATGTCCTGCAAGCCGCTTCAGCCACATTCAATCAAACAGGCCAACTCCAAACGCACCTCTTGTAAACAACATGATCCGTCTTGCTGAAGTCCCCGACCACGCAGTAGATAAGCTGTAGATGACCACTAAACAGTATCAGTTCCAGATACCGACACCAAGGACAAAGCATAACGCACTTGGGCAACCACCACGCAGGCACAAACTCCCCCAGAGCCAACGTCGGGCACCGCTCCTCGATAGCCTGCCGTAGATTACCCCGAATCGTCTCCTTCGTCTTGGTGCGGATTGTCACAGCCAACGGCGACGAGGGATAGAATAGCCTGGTTTTCCCGGTAGAGCTGAAGGCGGCACCCATAATACAACGGAGATAAGATCAAAAGGCAACTCGGGGCCAGCGCATCGTGGGTGTCGGAGCAAGAAACTTTTTTGGTTGGGGCGGTGGATCGGAGGTCGAGTAAGCAATTCGAAGCCGCCGGCTAATATAGATACTGAGCCGGATCATTGATTGCATCCCCAAGATACAATGGAATTACACAGAAGGCTGCAAAAATAATTCTCATAAACATATGTCCTAGGTACAACCAAAGGTCAATGCTTCTTCTTCAATATCCCAGTCAAGTTCCAACTTGCTGACTGGAACTGGCCCTCCCATTATCTCCGCCTCTGCAAATGGGGTCACCGAAAAAATTTGCTGGTCCCCTCCAATCCAAAGTGTTGCCCGTTCCATAAATGCCTGAAGTGTGGCATACCTCTCCGTGAACTTGATAAGCGGGTCTGCATCAAAGTCGAACAAGTAGTATAGCGTGTCGTTGCCGAACCGAATAATGGCTTTAAACAACATGACGAAGAAGATCTCGCCATAAAGCCTATAACATCGTATACGTTCTGGAGGAAGACATCCCCCACGGTCCATCTGGAATGGTTCCTTCAGCACACTGGAAACTCAAAAAAAATGATGAAAATCGCTTACTCGGGTCTGCGATATCTTGACCGGTAATGCCGCCAATGCAATCAGATGGTCCTTGCTCAACTTGACCTCCATTGAAAGTATCCGCACTAATCGAATGCCTTTCCACCGGGAAGTTAAACGAATATTGGGAATGCTATCGCAAGGAACTAAAACATGTGAATGGGTCAGACGGCACAGTAATAACGAAAATAGGTAATTACCGGTGAAGTGATCTGCGAAGCATTTTTAGAACCACTGATTGATTCATAAATTCAGAGACACTCTTTGCGTCTCCGACGATCAATCTAGTTCCGGTATCAATGATAACAGACAAGTTCCCGACCACGGCTTTTCCGTTGACATTTGCGGAATCCATGCTGATCTGCCAAAATCCCTACCATTCAGTGTCAATCCTGATATCAAGTACTTAATTGAATAGAAGAGAACAGTATTGGAGACTTGACTCGTGGTGAAAGACCCAGTGAACTTGTCCGTGTTGACGCCACCCAAGAACAACTCCCCACCGCCAGAGGCACTGAGGTCACACGCAAATTCTGGCGTAGTCACTACGTCTTGGTTTACAAGAGTTTGGAACATGGGGTCGTCACCGAAGATGGATAATTCTTTGAAGGCCGTTCCGAGAAACTGGGAGGAGTATATCGCTGCTGCTCCAATAGCTTGATGGGTTCCCTGCCAAGTATGCAAACTAGAGTGATTCAAGCCAGGAACGAAGGATGGGGCTACTGACCGTGAGTTACGCCCTTCGATAGTGAATGTGTCTGCAAAGACGTTCGCTTCAATAGCTGAACCGTCACCACAAGTCAAGTTGAACTTCTGGTTCTGATCCTTGGCTGTAGAGCTGCTGGGTGTATTGTAGATCATATGCATATCACAGCTTGAATCGCAGTCAGGAAATATCACTGCTGCCTTTTCAAAAAATTATTACCTGATGCCGCATGGCGACAAATACGAAGCTGTCGGCTTACCGGTATCAAAGTCCACTGATATCCATCAAGAAGTTAGCATGCCTGTAGCGCACTCGTATCTTGGTTCTTACCAATGAATTCCACAGCAGGGGTTCCAACTTGAATGGACCCGTACCAACGAAGTTGAGAATTATCTTGCAGTGCATCGGCTCCAATGCTCCGTCGAGTAATGCGCTTGGTGCTACTGGGGTGCACTTTTCCTCTGTGTTCTTCTCATATGCTGCGAAACCTCGCGCCATTTTACTGCAAAATATGTGATTAGTCGATGTGGGATAGTTATATACCACAGTGACCTACTTATGATTATGAACCTTGTTGACCTGTGCATTGAGGAAATCGCGGTCGACGACTTCTATAACGGAAAGCTGCGATGCACGTTTCGACAAGGGGATACTAACGCCTAGACGGGGTGTTGTAGCCGGGAACGCGCTGCACAAGAGAGGAGACACAGCAAGGATCCTAAAGAACGCGAGAGCCATTGGTGGATGACTGGGTGTTCTCTGTGAACGATAACTTCTCGGTGGGAGGATACGTAGCTTTTACGGATCTCTGGTGTTGTGTTTATCGTATGGCAGTCGGTAAGCTAAGGGATAAAAATAAGACATTAACCACTATGGCTCAGCACCGCACTTTATAGTCAGATGCTGAAGCACTGATGGAGAAAGGAAGATGAATAGGTTCCTGCGTGGAACCAGTGCTACCGCTATTCTCAACCTGAACATAGCGAGGACTGACGTGCGCGACGGTAAATCCATGTCACTGTGGCGCTGCTTCTCTGACGCGATGTGGTTTGTCTAATTGAATGGACCATGTCATGATGCACGGACGGGAACGTGAAATCGCCATCGCTGCGCCCGACCGAGTACTTACATAACTCAGATGATCTCAAAACCCTAAAAACCGTAGCTTACGCTGCCGAAGCCAAAAAATTTCGCTCTTATCACTGTCAAGCGCTATGCAACCGGCTATGAGGACCTACGTAGTGGAGAATCACGAATACCCACTGGCAGACGTTCCATTCCGCTGAGGAACTCCTAGAGACATATCCACGGCAGCGGTCCTAGCACATGATCAGAACGCGTCGCGTCCGCTGCGACTGGGCAAATACAAATTTAACCAGCGTGGCCTCGTATTTGCCCTCAGAATAAATTACCCACTGAAATTAAATCAGCCCTTCAGCTCAAGCACCTGGGTATCCAGCGGGGTACACTCCTATCGCTTACAAACGAAGGTTGGGCTCGACATCGTCAAGCGCGTCAACGTTAACGAAAGCTCAAACTCGTACCCAGCAGACAGATAAGATCTATATCAACAAATCATGCGATCCCTGATCCCAAGAGGTCCAAATTATTTCATAAACCCTATAACCCAATTTGGCACCCCCGGGCAAGGACGGGGGGGTGTGTGTGAACGACAGCAACGGAAAAACAAGGATGCGATGGACCTAAATTCCGGGTAAAATAGGGTATATAGTCTACAGACAGATGACTTCCGCCGTGCAGATATTAATAACTCGAAAAAAAAAGGTGAAAGAGGTCCGGTGAGAATGATAAAAATCGTGACAATAAGCGCTATCGTGACTTATCACCGCTATGGAGAGGTCGTCAGTACCAAAACAATATATCCTGTTTTTGACCCATACCATAAAGCGAGATATGCTTTCGCGCAGCGCAAGTCATGGGTCATGTTCGGCGACACGATTTAGCCCTCCACCACGGAGAACATCGGGTATTGTGAGTTCAACGACAGTACACATCCACAACTTCAATAATGTCTTCGGATTAACGCTGCGGCGGTTCGTAACTGAGCTTTGGGATACAGTCCAACAAGACCGCTGAATCAAAAATAGTCTGTCACGAGGTATGAGCACAATGCCCACAGCCCCAGGTTAACGTCTAGCTACTTACCCATAGGCTGGTGATCACCGAGTTCAGGACGTTGAACTGAGATGCGAAGATATTGTACTTGGAGCGGGCGTCTCGCCGTTCGGCCGCGTCCAGCAGTTTGAGAACGCTCCCAAGCTTAGACCCGCGCCTCGCTTTTTCATTCGCGTACGTTGAAGGCGACTGTGCGAAGGTATTGTTCATAAATATAGCCTGCCTGACTCTGTTAAAGCGCACGCACCGGGTGATGAGAAGGGGGACTGTAGGTAGAAGGAAGCGATATGTACCTGTCGACTGTTCTTGCGAGATCAAGGAGGGAGTTCGTATCCAGAATGCTCGACTCAAGAGCCGCCCAGATCCCAAAGACGGCCTCGTCCAGGAGCATTGTGAGATTCTGCAGGGTGGGAGGCGCATCGCGTAGCAAGGCGAAATGAGACGCGAGGTCTTCTATGCAAGAGTGGATGTCCACTTTTGCGAGGGAAGATGCCGCTAGCTAAAGGAAAATCAATCAGTGCGCCGACTCGACAGATGAGCGGGTCTTACATATGGCAAGTATATGTTGTGGGTGCACAAAATATCCATCGTGTAGGAGGACAAGGAAACAGGGACAGACATAAATCGATATGGGACTTGACAAAGACAAACTCCGCACAATGTCCAAGCATTAATAGGTCGAAGCCAAAAGCACACCTCTCAGGCATGCCCGTGTTGATCCGCATGGGTCGAAATACCCGCAGAATTATGGTTCATCGAGATTCATAGTGGACAATTCTGCGGACACTGTCATAAAGATCAATGTGGCGGACCCTGGCGGACCTGACAGTTTCGTTGGCAATATTGTCTCCAAGTTCCGCGACGCATCAAATTCAGACACCAGGGGGCTCGCAACGATTCCGCGTTTACGAACAACTGGGACGCTGTCATCAGGCAATTACTGCATATCTGAATCGTGACTGCCTCGAGGCCTGCTCGTGTTCTCTCCGGCACAAGCTTTGAGGGAGTCGTCAATGTCCAGCCCTCCAGGCGGGGTCATCTGGGGAGAGAACCGGGTTAGATAAAGATGCTTATCGGAAGTCATCGGGAGCGAGCCTGTGAAAAATGTGTAACTCTGTCGATCATTGGCTCGATCGTGCAACTTCCCCAAGGCGACGCGTAATGGACGGGGCGCCGTCCAGGGTCTCAGTGATACGCCCCCGAGGAGTCGAGACGAGAAAGGGCTACTGAGAGACAGGAGTGAAGAAAAGCACTGCGCGCACGTATTCTTAGTCCCTGTCTATGGAAACGAGGCACTCGCTCTCAGTCTCCTAAGTATTTTGAAATGAAAACCGAAGAGGTAAATTCTTTCAAGACACGTAATGCTTCGGAAGCGGAAGCTACGACGCAGACCCAGGATACGACACACAAGGACGGCCGCTGCCGCAATTTAGGACAGATTATATGAAGCTGAAGATGGAAAGTATTGTCGCAGATAATCAGCTTCAGGTCGTGTCTCATGACAGTAAACACCGAGTATCGAGTAAAATACAGATGCACATGCATATAGAGAGGTGGGAACGAGCATACGGGAGCAATGACGGCGCCATCCTGAAAAATAGCAAGATGTTCGAGCAGAACGCATAAAAAGGGTTATTGAAGCTTGAAAATGCATGGGAGAGCATATAGTCAGCTCTAGCCAGACACACAGTGCGAGAAAAACTTGATGGACAATTTGACCAATAAAAAGCGACATATATCCTGCATATAATCAGTATTTCCACGTCTGTAGGATGAAGTATATCGACCCAGCTGGAAGCTTGACGAGACGGAGTTGACATTGCGTACAGTACTAAGCCAGTCAAGTTATCCAAAGGCTGGATCTCGTCGTGGTGGTGGATCGTAACGCGTTGGTCCAGTTCATTCCACATGATACGACGACGGACAGGTCCTCTGAGCTTAGTCAGCACCTTATGAGGGCACAGACGGGCCGGAATGCGGCGGAGAAACCTACAGCTCTTACACCATCCCGAATCACAGGGCTAGTTCTTCCAACGACGCGCCTCTTGATCTTGAATATGTTTCACTCAAGTCCGTCGCCCACGAGGGTGTCGGCTACCTCTCTGTCCTATAATGACGCATCTCCGCCACAAGAAGAACTCTATATGCTCTCCTCAAGGAGCAAACTCTGCAAACTAAACGCGTCGCTGATGCTAGAGCCCCCTTAAATCCCGTTCGCAGGCTACGAGAAGACGTGCTCATAGACATTTTCGCTGCTTGCATCCCCAACCACATAGACAAAATTATCCATGCACTCCCCGGCGAGTTTGACTCTCGATACCAAGAATGCGCCGTGGGTTTTGTCTCAGGTTTGTGCGAGCTGGAGACGTACCACATTAGCGACCTCCAAGCTATGGTCATGTATCAGCGTGGTGATGGATAAGTACGTTAAACCACACGGAATACATCTTCCGCCTCAGCATTCTTCTAGCCAGAACGGGAACGCACCCCCTCACGATCTGCATCGACGCTGGTGCTGATATCACACTCTACCCACTTCTTGCCATGGTTTTCCCCCACATCACTGCGATGGACCAATCTGAGTGTTATGGGTCCGTCGCGCTCCTTCCTTCCTCCCATTCACTACATTCTCGCGCTAGTTGGCCCTACCGATAATAATTTCGCGATTAAATGTCTTCACAGCACCCTTCTGATGTGGCTTCTCTCTTGTGAGTGGCATGGGGCGAGGAACGCGAAGGAATCCTGCCTCGCGCTCCTCAATTATCCCGATCCTGCTGCAGTAGCACGTTGAAATCCTCATGGTCAGACTGACACACTTTACTGCAGAATCTCAGCGTCACCGAACCGACATCGGAATCTACCTCAGGCTCCACTGCAAGCCTGTATCCCATCCCATCTCCGTTTACCCGCGCTGCGAAAAGTTGACGCTCATTTACGACGATACGACCATAGACCAGGATACCGCGCCTAACTTGACAGATCTCGAGCTCGAGATCTTGTCCGCTCCACTTGCCGTAGACGGAAACTCTGTAAATCGAAATGCCGAAGTGGACCCTAAGGCTAACGCTCTGCGTGAAGTTTAACGTGCCTGACGTCTTCATCGCTCTCGGGAAAGTCAGCGATGAGTCATTTAGGCTTATTCCCCCATCTCGAGACTATCTCTTTAATAGGGGGCCCAGTTTGCGTGTTCATAGCCATGGCTGCATAGTTACGGAGGATGATAGAGGCTCGACATAGAACACAAGGCGAAGCTGGAGGGTCCTTGGAGGAGGTATATTTGAGTGAGGAAGTCGGAGAGTTGGGAAAAGCTGTGCCATGGAGGCTTGAGAGTCTTCGTTGTACCAACGTGACTGGTACTATACGGACTAATCGCAAGCAGCCTGGAATCATAAGCCCAGGTCAAGAGCAGCTTATCCTGGCAGCTTTGACAAAGTCCAGCCATAGTTTGTTTTATCGAGTCGCTGACCTGCTTTTTCTACTCAATTGCTGATCGTAAACTCGGAATTACAACGTACAGGGCTGGGACCAAATTGCCAATTTTCGGCGTACGAGGCTAAATCTGAGCTTTAGAAGCCAGATGGGCAGGGATAATCATAATCGTACACGTGGGCTCGTTGGTAGACGATAACGATACATCAAATTTTACATAGAATTTTACCCGATATTCCATAGAGCCGAGCAGAATAGTATTACAACGAGTGGTGGTATAGCCAGACATACCACTGGAGTGCTATGATCGCACGTCTTCCGCCCATTCCGAGCTGTGTTCTGGATCACGATATTTTTCAAAGATCACCTTCCTTGGGCAAACTGCTGGAACATGCGGAATCCGAGACACGATCCTGAGTGCAATGGAGAGATGTCATTCAAAACGGAGCTAAAAAGCAATCACCTAACCTCGGCAGAAAGTCTCGACAAGAACAAAATCATTTGTTCGGATATGGTGTAACGGCTAACATTGCCGCCTCTCATAATATCTTTGATATCAGGTCGCGGCAGCTCGGGGTTCGATTCCCCGTATCCGAAATCAATTCGTTAGCTACCCATAAATTTTGCTGATCTCTTAAGCTAGAATTTGCTGGAAAACACACCATTAGAGCCAGGTGGGGTAAGAGATGTTTTTTTGCTTACATCTCATCGAGAGAGGGGAGAGAAGGTTTGATATCATAATTTACCATTTACTTACCATATTACATGTATTGTCACATGACAGATACACAGGAATCGCAGATGTCTTCTAAGAATCTTTGTCTTTATGTTTTTACACATTTTCTTGATCTCATGAGCTATAATTCACCTGGAAATGTCATATATCTATTAATATAGTATATAAGTAGAATACTGATTTAGTATTAGTGAATCATCATGTCTAACTATGACAGGTAAGTTACTTCAATGAAAATCCCTCCAGCAATGAGAGGTAGCTTACCAGTCTGAAATCTGGGCATATCAAAACCAAGAGATTTGTGGACAACCCTACATAGCATATATATGCCTTTGCTTTGTATATACAATATGCCTACAAGTTTCTGAGACTTGTCAAGAATCAATGGTGTGATTCCAGATCACTGCCAGGTCAATGATTAAGCAACTGCCAGTCAGTGGCAAGTAAATACTGAAAGTCTAAAGCATCAGATAACTGATCCTTGAGTGGTTGACCTTGATTCACATTGTTTCCTTGTGGGAACAAATACAACCTGTATATTCTACCTTCCTTCTCAAACATGATTTCAGCTTCCTGGAAATTAGTATAAAGGTGCTTTTCAAAGGACTTTATATTCCAACAGTGGAACTGGTGCATGACACAACCATAGCCAATACAAATATGATTAACAAGGTATGCTCAAAAGTGCATTTTGCAAAAACAGTTACAAAAATTTGATATTCATCATGTCAACAACAGCCATTGAGAAGAAGAACAAGAGGTAGTCGATCATATGAACAGAACCAGAAACAAAATATCAACCAAGACAGAGACCAGATGAGAGTTTCCAGATGTAGAGTTTGTCAAATGCCCAGAAATGCATATTCTTGCCTTCACATATGAATGAGGAAATATCCCATTGTTACTGGAGTTGAAGAGAAGTCAGCATTTGTTCAGATATCTAGATATCAAAACTAGTATCTTCCCTTCCAAGGCAAGATATAAATCACATCTATTGCTATACTTTTTAGGGAATCATTTGCACAGTGAGGATACCATTGGAGAGTACACATTCAGTGTGTGTAACAGAGATGATGATGGGGGGGGAGGAGACCACAAATGCAGGATGGACAATAGTAGGTTCCTCTATTCTTTGCAGATGTAGGCCAGGAGCAGCAATGACTGCTCTGATAGCATGACTTCATTATGGTCATCAGAGAGAGAATGAACAAAGATTTCTTGCAACATCTCTGTGGGGAGCGAGCAGATTGGCAAGAGCCTTGTGGGAAAATAGAAAGCCTTCTTTTTTGGGGCGAGAAGATAAGGGCACTTGACATTGAGCTTGGAGGCATTCCAGTTGTATATCCACATCCTGGAATTCTGTGTCAATATTAGAGATTTTGGAATGTATTTACCTTCTAAAAATGACATAATAATCGACCGTAATAATTTGTTATTGTCTGCATTAATGGGGTAGTGGTAACCTGGGCCTTGGCCTGCCGGGGGTTTGATTCCCTCTTAATGCACTTTTCCTGTCGAATTGACAATTTTTATTGTAGATTATTTGGAATCTTCCCAATGTCTACGTTTACTTTACTACTGAGTAGTCTTTTACTGGTCAGCTGTGCAGTTTTTGCACCCTAACCGACATATTACTGGTGTAACTGAACTTGCCCAAAACCTGACTTCAAGTTTGTCCGCATTGTACGCCCACATTGAATCATGTGAATCATGTGGACCCGTGGGAAACCATGTTGGGCGGCAGCCTCGCTACTTTTTGTTCGTTATTTATGCTTCATCATTACAAGTATTCGCACTCGACAAATTCGATAAGTATTGTAGGTATCTTCTTTTTGTGCCAGCCTCAGGTTGGCTGATTGATACTTATTATTCTGTTTCTCAGCGCCAAATATCGGGGAAGCAACATCGCGATTTCATTAACTGTCCCTTATGTGGATCTGTAGCAAGGCAACCCTTCCCGCAGAGCATACGCAGACCTCACATCTTACAGTTGCTTCAATGCAATGATGTCCCAACGGATGCAGAGTTGTCCTGTTCCCAGGAGATAGTCAAGAAGGCATCTGGGCATATTGCTGAACTTGACGAGAGGATTGCAGATGCCAGGAAGACACGTGATGCTCTTTTGTCAGAGTGTATTTCAATAGAGGAAGACTCTAAGGATGCCAGAGTGCTTTCCTCGCCAGTTCGAAGGCTACCACCCGATGTTTTTCGTGCGATCAGTCTCGAGACCATACTGTCTCCTTTCCAAACCATGTCTAGGTCCGATTACTACAATAGTCTGGATCACAAAAATTCTCCTTGGATGGTATCGCAGGTCTGCCATGGCTGGCGATTGATTATCGTTAGCTCACCGGAACTCTGGTCGTCCATGTCACTCATCCTATCCAATCATTTTTCATCCTCGATTTTTTGCCAGATGTTCATGCTTGGTCGTAGATAACGCGCTACTGGGCATCCTTGTCGTCGGTATCGCCTTTGTGGGTATCGCCTTGATGGCGAGTATCAATGTGACTGACAGACGAGCCCGAGTAAGGCGGCAGGCTGAACAGCCCCGACGGAACTGGCAGCAGTCGACGCCGTGTTCATGCTGGACAGGAAGAGCATCGCCGCGCTTGACGTGTTCAGTATCGTGCTGGTCGCCGTCCGCCTTATCATCGACCTCTATGATACGCCACCCATCTTTCTCCTCTGGTCATCTCCCTCTTTTCAGCTCCTCGTAATACTCTCTTGGGATCCATTTTATGCGTCGTCCTGCAGTCGAGCGCCTCCACCATCCGGATGAGCGTGGTCAAGTCCGATAGCCCCAGACGCGACTTTTGCAGTCGCCATGTCTTAAGAGATCGTACCATCTTGGGCACAATCGTCAGTGGAAGAGAGAGTAGCAGTGAGCTGAATGTGGAAGCCTCCGTTGAGCGTCAAGATTTGGGTGGTACAATGCGGGAAGAAAAGATGTATCCGAGTCTGGCAACACTGAATCAAGGTCAACATAGAGTATTATGTCGGACGGGTCGAGGGCAAAGGATATTGACATGTCCGGCGTGGTCAAAGCATTGGAGGAAGAAGGGTAAGTGCACAGCCACACTCGTTCCTTGCGTCATCGCGTCGTTCCAGCTGCTATGACGGACCAGATCGACGCGCCTTCCCAGAGTGTAAATGGTGCGCGCTTGCCAGAGACCGTCCCTGCGCGTTCATTCTCGTTTCTATGCAAGGTAACAAGGAATTATAATCACCCACGGAGATGTAATATAAGGTAATGATGTTGTATTGAAAGGGAGATTTTCAGGTTGTGAATTGCGGATAAATACCATAGAAAATATTACTTGATCTACTTTTCATTGTATAGGCGGGGACTTTGAATTTCGAGCCTGCAAGGTTCGTTTAAAAGAGACGTGCTTGTCTTAGTGGAATACGCCCCGGTAGCCTGGCAAGTACATGGCACGTTATTCTTCACGAGAGAAAAAGCTGCCTGAAAGACAAGAATAAAAAATTAAACAAAGTATCTTACACGCAACATGAGCTGCCTATCTACGTACCATAATCAAAGTAGCAACATGTACAATAACTGCGCGACATTCAGATGGGAAAAAACTGAACAGAAAGAGGGATGTACGAGTTGGACGCGGAAAACAGTAGTGAAGCAAACCAGGAATAAATCGATGGAGAGTAAGGTTAAGTGTCAGCCGAAAGAATTGATAACTAGGTTTTGGAATCATTTGCCACCACGGAAAGAACGTCGCTCACTACCAGTAGCATTTGACGAAGTCGGGAACAGCTCAGACTCGACTTCACAAACTGTTCCCTCGTCGGGCAGAGTGCCGTTTTGAAAGTAAGCTTGAACGTACGCCTGTGTGCATGCGGAAGAAACGACCAAAGATGTGTGCTATAGCAACGGAACAAGTGAGGGTGCGAAATATGGTTTCGAATGACTACTCACCCCAGATGAGTTCTGAGTCAGGACTACGGAGCCAGGGAATGCGCTGGACGTCTTCTTCGCCCTGAAGAAGGATAAATAAAGTAATCCTGACATGTGGTACTGCCGACTTACATAGCAAGGGGAGTAACGGGGTCTGAACAAGAGATTGATATGAGTAGGAAAAGAGAGTCGGGGATAGATGGACATACCGGCCGTGTTTCCTATAAGAAGAATAGGATAACTGGTATTTCCGGTGACTGGACCTAACATGGGATACATCAGAACAAACCCAAGTGATTCGTGCAGCCAACAGCCAATAGCGCACCCGTGAATCTGTCTTCGCGATGGAACTTCCATCCACTAAAGAACCACGATTAGCACCACACCCGTCAAAGGAGGAATTGACGCACGAGCAGCTGATCCTCGCTATGATGAGTATATCGGCAAATGTCGATAAACCTTCGATACTATCCCAATATGCAAACAAATCTGCCACGGTGTCCGTGTTATTCAGGCTATCACCGCAGGCAACAGCAATTTCCGCCTCCCATGAATTATCATAAGCAGAAGATGGGTCGTAGGTTGTCGCCTGCATATCGTAAATTATGCTGCCATTCCCGGCTGCCAGACTAGCCAGACCTTCGGCAAGAACAGAGAAATAGGTGTAAGGCTCGTACAGTGCATTCATAACTGCGGTTCTCAAGACGGTATGGTCGACGACACCGTAGAATGATGGGGATACGACCGGGACTGGCTCGGTGAGAAGGGACTCGTAAATGGAGTTGAGGTTATTGGATATCTCATCAGCAGTAGGCGCGTAGAAGGCACATCTGTCGGGACCAGCAGCCGCGCATCCGTCGAAGAATGATTGCATGTCCTTGTCAGTATCGAGGATCTCATTTCGCCAGTCGCCTGAGAAGAACAAGATATCAGATATTGTACGTTTGTGGACGCAGCATTACTATCTTACCCCTGTAATAGCCATCCATATCGAAAACACCTATATCATATAATTAGGAGAGCCTGAGGACATGAGAATTTGACGACACTCACCATCAAGCACGATACGTTCAACATTATCCTTCATAGTCCGTTAACTTAACGTTTCAGGGGAGAGGAAGATACACACAGGGAACATGGCAGCAAAAGTGGCGCCAAGAACCGTCCCATGACTAGAGGGAAATGATCAGCCATCGAACAGAGGCAAAAAAAAACCCTCTGGCTTACGAGAATCCCCAATACTGTAGCTTCTCTTGACCCGCTGCCTCACTAATTCGCAGCATATCTCGAGCGACATTGTCCGTAGTGATGTAATCCAAGATCCCGTTGTCTCTTTCCTTGGCCAATTCCGCGACAACTTGTGTGGATGCCCATAGATGAGGAATTTGGTCTGAGGTCGCGTTGACAACATAGCTCCAATGATCGGTACTAGCAAGCCATTGCAAGTGCTCTTGTTCGGAGAGGAAGAACTCTGCTCGAGGCGTCGAATTGGCGACCCCTACGACAATCACGGTTTGACCTGTATCACATGATAAAATGCAGTTCAACGTACCACGAGGATCGAAGCTGATGATGTCGTATTGGTTCCCGATGACAGAGGCGAGAGCCGAACCACTGGAAATGATTGTAGCGATACCACTTTCGCCAGGGCCTCCCGGATTGATCAGTACGGTTCCTTTATAGTCAGTCTCGGATTGAGCGGAAAGCTTGATTACCGCAAGAGCAGCTTTGTCACTGTCCTCATTCGAGTAGTCGATGGGCACCTTCCGTCGCGCAGAAAAACGTTAGTTAAAACACCGTAGTGGGGAGGGGGAAGGCTTACCTGGAAACGTGTGCACTGATAGTCGGAGTAGCAGTCGACCCATGATAAGTTGCTCGTTGGTTCAATCTATAACCGAGTCATGAGCGGTACCCAATGAGGAGAAGTCAAGCAAACAGTAGTCCAATCGAAGTCACTCTGCGCCAATACTGCTGAGAACAGGAACACTGAATAAAAAACGCAGAACATAAAAATGAGAGAAATCATTGAAGATGACATTAAGCAAGAAAATATTCGCGAACATTTATATGCGTCGACAATAGCGGGCCAGTCGCCTTGAAACATGAATTTAATGCAGATGCAGTGTCAACTCGAATTCTGCACTTCTGAGGCAGATGAAAATTATCCGAGCAACTGCGGATAGCGTCTATAAAAGGACATCTAAGTCGCATGACGGCACGGCTATTGGTGCAGCTATGTATTGTGCGATCCTGTATCGTGAACTACTGATGGCATTCAAAGATCAAAGCAACATAATCACCACATGAAATCAAGCCGGGCTGTGTTCCTTGTTTGATCACAGTACGATACGGGTAAGTAGCGCCGTCTTCACCCATGTTGAGTTATGACACTGTTTCATGTTTAATACCAGGGTAATATAATGATACCTCCCAGGAAGACATGGACTGCGCACCAGGAGATATCTCAAAATCGCTGGAACCTAGGAACAGCAGCGCGGCATGAGAGAGGGTAATAATAGAATCGTAGAAATGAATAAAACAAAGAAAATATGATAGTTAAAATTGTCTTTCCTAAAGAATAGAATGGGCTTCAGACACACGGGCGTGAGCGACACGGTAATAAAGACCGACATAGGTCGGCAATTGCCGACACAAGCAATGGATAAAAAAGATTCATCGCTTGGATTGTAACCAATGTCTCCTGACCCATATTCGATGGTATCGTGATTCTTCGCTTTCTAATAACATCAATATGCCAAAGAACCCCGAGATGTTGAAAACCATGCAGCACTTCTGTTCCTGGCATTGACGTCGCTCAATTTCAACAGACAAGTAGTTCAAGGTGAAAATGGGATTCTTGTGCCTCATTTTGCGTTTGTATGTTGAAGTGTCAGGAAACTGAAACAACTATTCTCTCAGTAACCTGTTACCTGGATCCCAAGTTCGGTTTTCACTGCCGTATATTACAGACGTCTGCTCACGATTATTGACATCACGCAGATCTCAAGTCCAGTCTGCCCCGACCGTGAAGCGAAAATTTATAGAGTTAGGTTCGATATCAGAGAAACGGGCGCCTTTCAAACTGTGCGGAGTTCATCAGGAGTCCTTGCCGCACCCCAAACGGATCGTTATTTATTTAATCTATAGGTGCTACCCACTTCGCCCCACTTCGCCCCACTTCGCCACCAACTTCTGCCTCACGTTTCCCCCGGTCTTGAAAACGAATGTGTGAAGCTGGCACCTTTAATGTGAATTAGAATTAGAGGGATCTGTCAGTGATCCATACTCGCATTATCTCCAGACCTTCGTCCATGCAAAGTTACACGTCGATGCCACTCCTCCAGCTTCATTTTGCGACTACATCCCCGTCTGCCCATTCACCAATGAGCACTATCCCACCACGTTCTTTGGGGAAAGGAGACGGCGTTCGCCGTTTACGACAAATCAAAGTCTGAACAAGGGTACATCAACTCCTCCGAAGATCTAGTGACAGAGATAGGCTCGTGATGATTCTGCACACCTTCCAATGGATTCAAGTCATATCCAGCACTGTTGGGATCCTGATGAATTATGCCCTCCATAATCCTGACGATGGTGCACTTCTAATTCACGATTTTTCCGTACGATGATGATAAGCAAAGTAGGATTCTGTTCGTCGCATCGACGGCACATTCTGGGCCTGCTTGTCTTTGCGTGCTGTGATAAGGTCTAGGTGAAACCATCAGTTTTTCCCGCGTCACTTGTCTCTCGGAAATATTAGGACTGAGGAGTTCGGAGAGCCGCGGCCTGAACATGCAGTTCGCAGCACTCGGGCCTATCCCGTAAGCTTGTGTGCCTCAAAGAGTTTTGATAAACCCCGAGTGTGGATTTTGCGCCAGCTTCTGTACCTCTTCTTGTCGCTCGTATTTTATTCCTAGCTTTGATTTCCCTTGCTATCTTTAACCGCATCATCTATGGATCTGTCCTCGTTCATTGCCGTTTAGCTATAGTAATCTGCTCACTAAACGTATTTAATCCGAGTCCAAGTCAAGAAGCCCAGTGTGGTCACTGGTCAGGGGGGCGGCTGTGTCCTCCAGGCTCGTATCGACAGCTTTGTATCCCCAAAGAGTCCGCAAAGGCTCAGATAGTGCGATGATGATACGATCTATAATCAACGATGCGAGAGAACAGGGCTGATAAATACACATCAGTGATTCCTGACAAGATATTTCACCGATCTCTTCTGTTTGCTGCCATTCCATTTTAGAGCATCGACAATGGACGTATCAGTCTATTCATATAAGAAGATCTTCATGCAAACGCTCCACTCATCGAATACCGAGCTGACTGTATTCTGGATAAGGTAATGCCACATCGATCCGCACAACTCGTTGATATCAAATCTCGAGGTAAGAAGAATGAATAACCGCCAGTGCGTGCGCGGTGTTCAGTCGGGCCTTTCCATGAGACATGTCGGTCGTCGCGAGTATCAATGACGCAGCCTCTTCAAACGGGCCCTACAAAGTGCCCGTTGATTACTCCCATATCCTGTCGATGGTGCTTCAGAATTGAGGAAACGTCGACTGATCATCATACATGGTTCACATACCAGTATACTAGATAACAACACTTAGGCCCAAACGAACTGCTGACTGGGGGTTGTTATACCGTAGAAGCGACTATCCATCCAATTACCAGATGTAAGACCTTTCATTATTCAAGACTGGGCAGAAAATCAACCTGAGGGGTGCAGACTGGTTTTAACGGAATGGGGGAGAGAATATCAGGTTCAGACTCCAAACAACCTGCCCAGTTAACAATGTTTAGATCAGAAGATATGCTTGTGGCATACTTTTCAGGTAACCTCTTTTGTAATTTTCCTGAATATAATTAAGATCTAGTGTAAAAATGCGAACCGGGGAAACCGACCTGCAATGTTCGTGTAAAAAGACGCGGGTGTATTGACGGAACATGCGGTGTCGGCAATGTGTCACGCTCACGTGATGTTACTGGGACGCGTCAACTGCGACCACTCTGAATCTGAACCGTCATCCTTTGAGCTTCACGTTCATTGTCCCAAAATCCTCCACAGCATTTACTCGTATGTCAACTAAGAAGGGTACATCTCAGGTCAGTCTGTGTATGCCATTGCCCAGTAGGTGCTCATCTGAACATAGCCACGACCTTTGTTTCTGTACGGAACTCTTTGTGTGATGCCACTGTTGGCAAGGGCCCTCACAGGCGACTCCAGGAAAACGAGAGAGGTCGAAACTCTCGTTCAAGCCGCTTATGTGAAGGGATATTCCAGATTTTCCTTGTATGGCAAAGACTACCCCGCCGTAATCAAACACGCCGACACCTCCGTTGTCGACGGCCTACTCCTGTGGCCCCGAAATCATTCACAACGTACAAAGTTGGACGACTTTGAAGGAGAGAGTTACAAGCTTACTCTAGTAGAAGCAAGGACTGAACGAACGCGGCGAAGATGGCGAGGTGATCGATGCAGATATGTACCTCTGGGACGGCGACCATGACGCCGTGTCGAAGGATGGCTGGGATCTACATACTTTCATTCAAGAACGACTTGATGATTGGTTGGAACTGTTTGGTGGAATGGAACTCGTAGGGGACGATGACAAAGATTAGCCATCCCTGATCCTGATCCTGATCTACAGTTCTGCGAAGAAATGCCCTTGAAAAATATGCAGTATTTGTGTACTTCTGTATCAACGCGCTCGAGCTACACTTGATACATGTTCCTCTGTAGAAAAACTAAGAGACCATCATTCAAAGGAATAAGTGTGCCCTAAAGCAGAAGAACATGTGTGCCGAGTGCAGATAGCAGTCAGAGCCATAGTGAAGGTGTGCAATCACAGTCACCTGTCAACATTTCCTTTAGAGTATGAGAATTAATATTGCATTAGGTTTGTGTTTGGGTCAGGACGCAGCTTACTAGTTACTACCACCAAAAGTATCTGCTGCGACGCACTATGTACTGTCTCATGCTGTAATGCAATCGGGTGTTATTCTTCAGTTGACGCTCAGCCTGTTTCTTGCTTTATATCCTCTGATTAGGAACAACCAAATTTGGCGTCGCACAAGCCTGAGACTCCTTCGGTAAGCTAGACGGCAATCAGAAGTTTCAGAACCCCCACGCATTATTCTCCACGAGGAAACACCGAAAAAAGGTGGTCTAAAGCACAGGAGGTAAGATAAAAGATAACAAAGAAAGGGATCAACTTTGATAATTGGGGACGGGTATCTTACACCAACATGAACTGCCTATCTACTTACTAAATTCGAAGTGCACATATAAAATAACTGTAGATATGAACAGACGAATATAAAGAACAATGTATGAGCTAGACGCGGCCAACCTTAATAATGGAGCAAACAAGAAATGATACGGCAAAGAGTAAGAAGGTTAAGGCCAATAAGGTGTATGGTTACGATTCGAATGAACTGAAAGAATTCATAACTAGGTTTGGAGTCATTTGCGAACAAGGAAAGAACGCCGTTGACTGCCAGTCATGTTTGGAAACAGCTCAGACTCGACTTCACAAACCGTTCCTTCTTCGGACAGAGTGCCGTTTTGAAAATACGCTTGAACGTACGTGTGCGTGCATGCTGAAGAAGCGGCTAGGGATGCGTGCTAACAGCAACGGAAAGCGAGTGTGCGAAATCTGTGTTCGAACGGCTACATACCCCCGATGAGTTTTGAGTCAGGACTACGAAGCCGGGGAATGTGCTGGACGTCTTTTTGCCTTGAAGAAGGATAAATAAATTAGGCCTGACATGTAGCGTCGCGAACTTACATAGCGAGGGAGTAACGGGATCTGAACGAAGATTTAACGTCAATAGGAAAGGGGGCCTGGGGATAGATGTGCATACCAGCCATGCTTCCTATAACGAGGATAGGATAACTGGTGTTTCCGGCGATAGGACCTAACATGGGATACATCAGAACAAACCCAAGTGATTTTTGCAGCTAACAGCCAGTAGCTCATCCGTAAATCTATCTTCGCGATGGAACTTCCCCCCACTAAAGAAGGATGCAATGAGTACAACACATGTGTGGAAGAGGGAATCTACGCAAGAGCAGCTGATCCTTTGAACGACAAGGACGTCAGAAAATGTCGATAAATCTTTGATACTGTACCAATATGCAAATAGATCCGTAACAGAGTCCTTGTTATTCGAGGCGTCACCGCAGGAAACAGAAATTTCCGCCTCCCATGAATTATCATGAACGGGAGACGGGTCGTACGCCGTCGCCTGCATCTCTAAATTATGCTTCCATTCCCGTCTACCAGACTAGCCAGACCTTCGGTAATAACAGAGAAACAGGTGTAAGGCTCGTCCACTGCGTTCTTGCCTGCGGTTCTCAAGACACTCTAGCCGACGACACCGTAGAACGATGGGGATACGGCCGGGACTGGCTCGGTGAGAAGGGACTCGTAAATAGAGTTGAGGTTATCACATAACTCGAGGCATCGAATTGCCTACCCCTGGTACAACACTCGCGGTTTAGGTTGTAACTCTTGATAAGAAAAGGCGGTCCGACGTACTCCAAGGATCGAATCCGATAATTTTGGTTCCCGATGACAGACGCAAATAATGAACCAGCGAAGCTTCTAGTGAGACTCCACTACCGCAAGGACCTCCAGGATTAAACAGTACTGTTCTTTTATAGTCTCGGATTTAGCGGAAAACTTTATCAACGTGAGAGCAGCCTTTTCGCCGTCCTCATTCGATGAGTCGATGGGCACCTTCCGTCGCAAGAGAGAAACGTTAATGAAGAACGACATAGCGAGAAGGGGGAAAGCATACCTCGAAACGCGTACACTGATAGCAAGAGTAGCAGTCGACCCGTGATAAATTGCGCGTTGGTTCAATCTATAACCGAATTCGTGAGCAACAGTCTCTCGATGAAGAGAAGGCAAACAAACAGTGCCCCAATCGAAATCGCTTTGAGCCCATACCGTTGAGAACAGGAACTATAATTAGAAAAGAACGTAGAATGTAAAGAGAGATATCATTACAATGGAAAAGATGACATTGAGTAAGAAAATAACCGCCATCCAATGAAACCAGTCGAGCTGTGCTCATTCCTTGACGACGAAGAAACTTGACGGAAGTAGCACCGTCCTCGTCCAAGTTGAGTCACGTCACTGTTTCATATTTAACGTCAAGGTGATATACCTACCAGGAGGACATGACATGCACATCAGGAGATATCTATCAAAGAGCCCAACACAGTAGGGTGGCGTGAGAGTGGGTAATGAGAGAATCATGGAAACGAATAAACCAAAGAAATATGATAATTAAAGATGTCTTTTCTAAAAAAAAATGGAATGGGCATCAGACAAACGGATAGAGCGCCAGGGGGAAAAAATCAACCTTCATCGGCAATTTCCGGCACATGCTCTGGACAAAAAAGGTATTCACCGCCTGAATTGTAACCAGTGTTCCCTGGCCCATATTAGATGGGACAGAGTTGCTTCGCCCACGAATAACCTCACTAGGCAAAATAATCGCGAGGTTTCCAAAAGCCAGATAGCTGACATGAAGCATAACGATGGAAGTTAATATTAGTGTACATACTGTACACAATAAGAACAGCCGGCGGCTTCATATTGGTCTGAACGAAATGAAGTCATCTACTAAGAGTGGGCGCGAAACTGCCCTCGCCCCTCGAAATTTATTATTTCAGAACCGTAGCGAACAATACTAGCTCCATGACTGTCATTAAAAATCATAGCGAATAAACGCCAAGTGAAACCTGGTAACAGAAGAAAGGGTACAATGAATGGAATATAGCCCCAGAATACTAATGATCCGAAGTGTGTCAGCGGCATAGGTACAAGTTAACGGTCTAGACCTCTCCTAAGAGGCATATTCCACCGCCATCTCTATCCATCGCCTCATAATCCTGTAACCCTCAATGTTTATTTCCTCGAATATAGGATCTTCCAATAACGCCAGCTCGAAAGCCTCTAGATCCTTTACACGGAATGCCGTACTATAGCGCTCAACGTCAGCTCCACCCTGGATGTTATTAATCGCGCGTACCTAGGAGCGATATATAGTACCGCATCTGGATCCTTCCACTGATTTCTCCATATTTTGTATGCCGGTACGACACAAAGTCCCCCCACCAGTCAAAAAGGAGGCCATTTCCGTCGGATGGAGGACCTGCTCTACTGGGATGTCACGCGTCGCGGCTTCGAGAGCGGGAGTGGGCAGCGAACGTTTCCAGGCCGCCGTACACGTCGAGCACGATGGAGTAGCACGTTTGAAGTACTCCAGGTATTTAGCACGGACGTGTAGGTCGCGAGTATTTACTTGGTGGAGGCGACGAGGGAGGGAAGGACTAGGAGGGAGAGGGAAAGATGCGTCTTCATGGGTCGAACAGGAATATTAAAAATATTCAACTAGGATCGACATAGGCAAGTAAGATAGAATCTCGCCGTCTTCGGCTTCTTAGATGATCTTGACAGCGGAATACAGTAGAACACAGTTTATGACTGAAAGGACATAAGATTAGCCGTCAGTCATGCCAAAACGCGAAGTTTGTACCTTCAATTTCAGCCTTGCATCGAGATCAGCTTACTTGACGGGTACACTAAAGAGATGACGGTAAAAAAGCGCATCCGAAGACGGAAAACATAGAGCAGAAGAAAAAACGTAAAGACGTGATTTTGGCCAACAGTGGTCCATTCCATGCGAACATACCGGAGGCGAAGGCGGTTCGCGGCACAAACTAGCGTGGCCCTGTCTAGTAATGAAGGCACCATGAAGAATATTGGACACGGGACGGCCTCTCTGATCGGGCGGGATACTTTGTGGCTCGACCGAGGGTAAACAGAGCATGCAAGAGAACCAAAGACAGACGCTCCACTGATACAAACATTGCCAAAAAAGCACTGCCTGTAAATGGTAGCGTAAGCAGTTATGTCAATACAGCGTAGCCAAGTTCTTACATCCAGTGGAAATTCACGATCTCCCTAAAGCGACGTGACACACGACGTCTAAGTTGAACCAACTTCAGGCGGGGTCGGCCTACGTGAACCTTAACATATCATAAACCAAGGAACGCGATAGAAGCAGGGACACTACGTACAGATGACAGAGACCTATGTCTGATGCATAGTTGCTTCGGCCTCGCTAGACGTCTGACGAGTCCTCTTTTGCACACTCAGGCGTACACGGGCTAACGTGAGCCATGAGGTGTCATTGTCAATGTGAAGAGGCAAAACGGACAGGTGATCTTTCGCAGCCAGCTGCGTTGCTTTAAGTTTTCAGGAACGTAATTGAAGAATCTAGAATCCGGAGGTCGGACTCCCGGTGGCACTGATACTAATAGGAATGACCGTCTGCGGATCGAAGATAAATAGAGCGACTAAGAGAAATGTACCCAATAATCTCCTTTGGCTAGAGAAATCTCCGTGCTTCTCATGCCATTTGACTGAGATCCTGATATGCTCGGTGGGACCACAGATACAATGATCTAAGATCGGAGACAGTTCTAATTACTCCGCCGACACTGAGCTGACTGGCAGGTGAATTCAGAAAATAAAGGAAGGAACATAAGCACGTGCCGTACCTCTAACGAAGCTATCAAACAAAACGTTGAACTGAGCAAATCAGTAAACCCAGCGCAAATGAGCCTATGGTGGGGAGTAGGGACAATGCATCTTCCATCCAGGAGACTAACGTACCGAGCCAATTATTATAGCAAACTGCGAACTCGGTGTCGCAGTCGCCGCCTTTCAACGATGCAATTGCGAGGTACCATCTGTCGAAACCCCAGGAAGAGTTTGCTCCTTTCGCTTAGAAGCCGACCATATAAAGCTCCGTCGCATGGTTGCTATATCTGAAGGAACTTGACATCATTCTTCCAGCAGATTGCACTATTTATGTGCCAGGGTTCCACGAAAATACGAGTGTTTTGATTCTCGGTTTCTGGCTTTTCCCCGACTTGACAATATTAAACATCTGGAGAGGAATAGCCGAGCTCTACGACTGGCTAGCTCAGCTACCCATCAAAATCGCATCTTGGACCATGATTAAGGGCTGGATATGCCCAACAACCGCCTGTACCTATCCAATGTTATTAATAACGACCTATGAGCTAACAAACGTAAACGCACCGCTGCCCTCCCCTTCGCTGATTCATACTACGACTCCAGGAACCGTGTGATGTCATTCCTAAGGTACATGTCGGTAAATCTCAGCCAAAACCAAAGGTAGGGCCTTGTTGGCGAGTAATCTATCATTGTTGTCAAGCAAGTCGTGACAGAAAGACGAGAAGACACACCTTGAGGGCCATTCACGACACTGAAGCTAATTCCTTAGCATCTTCTCCATCTGATCGCTGAAATTGGGCCTCAATAACGCTCGATGATAGAACTGTTTCTTCTACGGCCCGACTTGCAGGGCGAGCAGTCCATTTAGGCCTTGAAAATGACAAGCATGACCAGCATCCAGGTATGGGTGCAAAATTCCCTTGCATTAGTGGGCGGCTCCAAGCATGTGTTACACGATGTAAGAAGAGCTCAGCGGACATGATGGAAGTAGGGAATGATGCGCGAATATACGCGCTCGCTTGTCGTTGTTTGGTATCTAATCGCGACGATCCAGGTTTTCTCACAATTTTCTTTTCCTCAGCTCAAATTTTATCAAGATCTCTCGTGTCTCCGTAGGATTTGATATTATACTTCGCTGTGGATAAAGTAAGCTGAATATTAAGAACTGATGTGACTGTGAATACTGACCCCACTAATTCAGTAGTCCAGTGGTTTTCGTACTGGCACAGTGGCACCTTGCAAATTCCCTTGAAATCCAGGACAATTTCGTCTAGGTATGTCTAAAATCCGTACAATAGTAGCAATAAATCTTACGGAACATTACGCAAGGTATGGCAGCCATCGAACATCTTCCGCCTACTCGCGAATGTGCTACTTTTGGCCATATATCCTTGCGGCCAGAAATCGTCCAGAAACAACTCTCTGCCAGGGCGAAAGAGCTCTGAAAATCAAATGCTCCCCCGTCGCCTGAAGAACGCTTGGAGCTGGCCGAAATCGCGGCTCAATCTTCTCGTGCAGTAGCGGACCTTGAGCGGAGGATTGCCCAGGCCCAAGGAATGCCCGATAGCCTTGTTTGCGAACTTGGTGTTGCTACAGAGCAACTCAGGAGTTCCAAAATGCTGTTACATCCCATTCGTACTTTATCTGATGATGTCCTATACGAAATCTTCATCTGTTGCTGTAAAGACTGGGACGACATCTGCAGCACCTACCTGCCTCATGATTCCATTACGAACGTTACCGCCATGGACCATCTCTCAGGTTTCTCAACAATGGAGATTGGTGGCTGTCTCTGCGTCATGCCTATGGTCTTCAATATCTCTTTATTTCCCCTCCTACGGAGAGAATAATGCAGTATCTGTGTCGTTCAAAATTGGTCTGCATCTTCAGGGGGCGCTAAAACGCGACCTTAATATCAGCATTTCTAGTAACATCGATCTATCAGATCATCCAATCTTTCCGATGCTACGCATGAGCATGTCTCAATGGAAACAGCTGCGTATTGCTGTGCCTCTTCAGACGTTGCACTCTCTTTCTGCAAATGCTGGGTCTCTCACCTCCCTTTCTGCCTTGATCATCTGAGATACTCGACATGGCACCGAACATTTCTCTCCCATCAATACTTTCCACTTAGCCTCTTCTCTTAAATCTTTGGATGTATATCCTGGACTTGTACCTTATCTTCAGCTGCCCTGGAAGCAATTGACGGATCTGAGGAGCACAGGGCTTTACGACTGGCAGAGCGTGGAAATATTGAAGAGGGTGCAAGGCATTGATGCATCCCTTCAGAGACTTTCATTTGCAATCTGGAGAGGGACGATCACACCACAATTGGATGCCCATATCCTCTTACCCAAAGTTACTTACATCTCAGCAGAAGAATAAGCATTCGCATATAGACCCATTTGCCGACTTTTCAAGTGCATGACAGTTCCAAACCTTACTCAGCTCTTTCTACAATACGACCGCTTTGCACCCGTCGAATTCCCAGCTATACCACCTGATAACCGGATTATGGATTTGGTGATCTATTGTAATCTCGCTGCCCGAACGGAAACCACGAAACGTCTCATCCACTTTCTATCTGAAACTCGAAACCTCATTCAGTTGATCCTACATGTGGTAGTTATAGGGGAGGCACTGATTTCGCAACTCGCTCGGAGAAGTGATCGCCAGAACATTCTTCCTCACCTGACGATGCTCAATTTGCATGGGTCTACTAACACAGTCAATCATGCAGTGATTGTGGACATGATTGCGTCCCGGAGGAAGCGGCAAACGGAAGAAGAGTCATTGCTACAAGTTCGGTTTGACTCTCTGCTCGTCCTAGATGATCCTCAAGTGGCTGCACGATGGCAGGAGTTATGTAAAGAAGGATTAGAGGTTACATATAGCAAAAAGGAATAGTGGCCAAAACACTTCAGAGCGACTGTTTTCGGTACGCGTTCTCGTCATTCACGTGACAAAAAATTATTTACGTTCTTATTTCTGTTATCAGGCAATTAGGAAATGGGACAATGGAGACGTCAGTTAGCTACATTCTTGTTGTCAAATATCTCTATAGCGCTGCTTCTTGTATTGAAATCTATATCATCTCCCAAAATTCCTGATTTCGAGCCATCTGAATGGCGGATAGGTTATAGCAGAAAAGGCAGTCGCGAGCTAAGACGAATATCGTCAGAACAGGTAACAGTCCGGACAGCCAACAAACGCAAATCTCACCTCGCATCCTACATCTGCGTCGCCAGTCATTTTCCCTATCGGACCGGTGTACCAAACCTAAATACAAAGGTCATTTTCTGGAACGAGGCGAAGCTATATATTTCCTACTTCAGACAGCCCAATGATGGCCCCAAGAGCGCCAAAGCATCCTGCCAATATACTAGCAATTCCAACTGGCAGTCTGTCCAAGCATTAAGATTCAAGACGGTCTCAATAACCGAAACATAAATCGCATCTGACTGGCCGCTCGGGAGTCCCAATCGTCTAGGTTATATCCGCCAAGAGGAACAGTCCTTCTCCCAGAAATATAGTACTCTTCGAGGACGCCAACGATGGAGAACGATGACCAGTATCCGAGGATGGCGAGAAAATTAGATAGGATCTCGGCGAAATGCTCCCGGCCCGCAACGCCCGCCACGGTATATGTTATCCACCCAATAACAGTCCAACATATGCGAGGGATTTTCGCTAACGGACGGCCGAGAGCCTAGACAGACGGTCCGACGGAGTAAGTGTTCAGGATGTTATTAGTGCTGGTGCAAAATGAATTACTCCGAGATTCAACGCTAGAAGCCTAGTCACCTACATGACAGACAATGCCAGAACGACGAGCAAGAACTTTCCGAAGCCTTTCCAAGGCGTCAGGATCTGGCCGAGGAGACCGCTCAAACTTCCGCTTTCAAAGGATTCGGGGTACCCGGGCTTTGTGATGGTCATCAATGCCGCACCAAGAATTTCAGCGAAAGAAGTCGGAACATAAATCCCGAAAAAATGTAAGAAAAACTTTCGTCGAACGTGTGTTTACTGGAAGCCGGCAGTGTATAATCCGCCGAACAGGTCCCCCACCAGAAGAAACTAAGCCAAAGAAGTATTAATTCTTCGAAGATAATACTGACACCTACAGTAGAACAGAACACGCTCCACCGAAGCTCAGTACATTTGCGGTTAGTGCCCGTCCGGACTCCTCAGCAGATTTCTGTGCTTGAATATCGAAACCTGTATGGCCGCCCAATCCCCAAAGCAAAAACATTACCACGAGGAGAGGGATCCATGCGTATCTTTCGTAAATGTGGACCACATCATATCCAATAAAACACGGGATAAGATTGCAAATAGAAACAATGATAACGCCAACGACAAGAGGAAGAGAACCCGTGTTGACCGATGCGAGAGTTTGACCGCCAAGAATGATACACGTAACTACAAATCCGAGTCTACAGGCAGAAGAACACGAGCGCGAGAAAGATGGCGTGATGGTTTCTCACTGAGATAGAACATTGAGTATAGAATACACGATTCCACCGAGGTAGCCGGAGCTGAAGCGCGCAATAATCATCGTGCAAAGCCCGGTTTTTGGTCCAAGGGTCCCTACAAGAGATGTGAGCACCGCTGATACGAAGCCAAAGACTACTATCGCGGCGACCACATGGCCGTAACAAAGGAGAAAGTAAACAAGTACCTCCGGTCCATGGAAAGATTCACGGAAATGTCAAGGAATATATATCTTGCGCAAGAATACCAATGGATAAGTTCGAAAGGACAAGATTAGCAGATCAGCAGATCTGAAGACATGATGCATCAACGATCAATATCATTTAGTGCTTCGGCGAAAGATTTCGCTCACGTCCAAAAGTAAATGCTAATCATGGAGCTAAGTACAAGCCGGTGCTAGCAAACAAGTGCTCACATGTTCCAAGTATGTTTTCAATCTCGTTCATCTGACTCTTTCCACTCCTCTCCCTTCGACACCACTCTTACAAAGCTTTGATATCAGCGGATCGAAGACATCAGCGCGCTCCACAATAGCTCTGTCGACTCGAGCCACTTCCGAGGAGACTACAGGCGAAGAGACCCTTTTTTCTTCCAAGATCCCTGAATGCTGCCATTCATCCTGAAGAGAAGACATCGCCCCACGTCGCTGTTTGAAAGAGACGAAAAAGCAAGACTTTATCGAAGAGTCCATCAAAAAAAGAAGCTAGATAACAGTATGGTCGAAGATAGATAAGCGCGTCACACATGTGGCCGTCATGCGGAGCAAGACAATCCAGATGATGGTCGGAATGGTTGCTCTAGTTCAAGAGTCAAGAAGGCAAGTTCTGCATTTTACAGTATCGAGGCAGCATATCAGTTGGACGGGATTAATAAAGGAAGTTACAGCTTTCGGAAATTTATCAGAATAACGGCGAATAGCTGCTACGTAGTCGCGCAGTGAGGATCGCACAGTCGCTGCTACAGACCGCTACAGACCATTGACCGACGCAATCATAGTAAAAGTGGACGTCGCAAGATGCGACGTGGTTCGTGGAGTGACAAGCCCGGAGCCCGAAGTCCAAATCCGATTGCTCGGTATTAGGGTAGCTCACAAGATAAAGAAAATCCGTAAAAACATACACATAAAAAAGAGTCTACATTTTGCGTGCCTGTCATATGATCCTGCACTTGATAGGTAAGTAACGGTAAATTACTGTATCAAAACACTTTGGGGACGGGTCGATAAAAAAATGGTAACTCGTCCTTGAGGTTTCATGGTGACCGTAGTCAGTGTACTAAAACTAGAAGACGAACGTGCGCATTGACCGCGGCAGGGGTCGAACCGGCAAATTCCTGATAAATACCCAATTGTAGTCAGACGCATTACCATTGCGCCACACGACCAATGACGGTGGTTTCGTACTTATCCCTTTGGTCCGATACGCATCATAAACACGGGCGCTTCCAAATTTCGATGCTTAGGTCATCGTTCTCCCGTGCGTGGTGACCCCGGGCCTGAGGATTCTAGGAACATTCAAATCAATGTGGATATCTATTGTCTTATCATCGCAGACAATATTCGTTTCTGTATTTCTTCTAGCCTTAGTGTAGTCGAGTCTTCACAAAATTATGAAGAACGATGCCTAAGTAGTGTCAATCAGGTTTTGAGTCAGGTCCAGCACCGCCATTGAACAACTACAATTGAGGAAATTTGAATCGGTTCTCCAATCCACATCAATCGGCGACACATAGAACCTCACATCCAAAGTATCAATGATTAGGTGATCCCGTAACAGAGACAGAAAAACTAACTTATTCGGGTGGCTATTTACGATGTAGAAGGCTACATGATATAATTACCCGTAGGTAAGACCGGGTCCGCTCTTTAGAACCCTGATCTGACAACTGGCTTCTATTTCAACCGTCATTACTTGCGCCTCTTGACTACAAAGAGAAAGGGTCCGTCAACAACTGTATCGGTGCCTGTGATTCTTACAAAGACCGACCTTTTAAAGTATCTCAAGATAACCATCGATGAATACGACTTAAGTGACATCGCTATATTCATACCAAAAGGACGGTTGAGTCATTCTGGTAATTAAAGGAAACATTATAGACGGGGCATATTCAATGGTGCTACATGGGGATATTCTGGACTCGGAGGGAAAACCAATATAAGCTAGGAACTACAGTCTGATAAGCAACGAAGTCAATACAAACACCGAGTAAACAGAGCAAAGAAAAACGGATAACAGATAGCAAAGATCGGAAAACCAGGAATAGCAGATAGGAATGTTATCGGAGAAATCGATCAATGTGTCTTCATAAGAGGCGGAAGCGACCGGTTTGTAAGGGAAGGAAGGCCCATGCCCACAGACGAGCAGGCTTCAATGAGGTGCTTCCTTAGGTCATCACACTGATGCTGATGCTCTAGAGAAGGGGAGAAGGGTAAATTTGGTGCCTAGTGGTAACAGGGTTACGCCACCTACGCGGGCAAGGCCATATCGAATTGACAATATCGAGGGGAATGATGATGGCTTTGGCTAATTCGAGAGCACCATATAGGGACCTATCGTTAGTCCAGAGGCGAAGACAGCTATATTATTATATGAGTCAGAGCTGCGTATGACTTATTGGATAAGAAATTACAGTGCAAGTTGATTCGAAAACCAAGTTACTTGAAAGGGACGACGCGTCAATTGATGTCCTTGGGCACCACTCATACGTTGGATAGACATGGTCACGCGCTTGACAATCTGCTCTTGATAATAAACTATATAAGGATGAGAAAGACGGACTCTAAGAGTGGGGAAGATGATGCTCACTCCACTCATCGGCCTGCTTTCGGGTGAACACAGGGCCTCCACTACTTAATCCGTGTAAGCTAAAGTAGAAGACGAATGAGTTCATAGAAGGAATAGATCACGCACACATTCGAGGATGAAGGGACCAACCTACGCAACGCCTGTGTAATTGCCATTCGAGAGCTGAGGGAAATACGTTAGCCGAGCATATTTTGGCGAAGAAAAGGATGATATCCACTTGTAGATATACTCCCGACACATGTACATGACGGCGGTATCGAGGTTGCAGACATGCAAATCTAACGAATCCTGGATAGACTGGGTCTCGTTCCAAGCTTCATGTGCATACTCGGCCTTGTCTTCCTCCACGTACGGCTCACGCCGTAGTTGATCGCAGAAGCACCAAAGAAGCATACTCCGGCAATAGAGCGCCCAAACGCTCTCTTTCTGTGACTGTGAATCCGCTGATCGATAAGGGGGAGATGTACGATCGACAGCTTCGCCCGGGAATAATAGTGCATACTGGATGGAGAACTAATCAGGGAATCCTCCGTATAGGGTCGCGGGAGAACACATACGTTGGAAGGGCTGCTCAAAAAAAGCTTCGGGGGGTCACGATCGAACGCAGCACATTGAAGAGTGTAGTTGGCGATGAGACCGAGAGCACTCCAGCAGACCCTACGGCATTCCTCGTCGCGGATTTCGTTAGGTGACCATGAAGAGTCCCAAGGTAGGGGGTAGGACCAGGTATTGAAAGGATCTGGCGGATGAGAAGCATCGGCGGGTATGCATGAGCATGTACGCTCGTGCGGCGAGCGTGAGAAGGCATCGAGACCCGGTATGAGCACGACGGGGACGCCCCGTGGCGGAAAAAAGGATACATCCGGGTCATTTGAATCGATAGATGTCAGTGAAAGACGACGAACGATGTTATCCAAAAAGATAAGCGCGCTTTCGACGCGTGTCGGGCTATATTCGGGGTGAACGGAGGTCTCGAAGAGTGCCAGGATCTAAAACGAGTAAGTTGGCCGGCACAGACACGGGTAATGAAACACAAGACATACAAGCGCAGCTTCAGCCAAGGCGGCATCAATCCATTCCGACTCCCATGCGGCCTCCAGAGCGTTCTGCGCCATACTTCGGAGGTAGAGGGCACGAGTTCGGCCTTGAACTGCGTACTCCGTCTCGGAGGACTTCATCAGAGTAGACATAGCTAGGGCAGATAGGACAAAGGCGGGTTGAATCCGTATACGTTCTTGTGCATTGAGTAAGGTGTCCATGAAAAACTTTATGTTGAGGAAGGACAGCCAGTATCCTGCATCGGTGAACCTATACCCCGTGTCAGGCATGAATGAAATCATCAGGGACGTGGCTGTGCTTACAGATATGTCAGGTCATCAGCGACATCTCGTAGTCTGGAATGCAGTCTGTGACTAACGCGGATAACACTAGAGGGTCGAGGCTTACGGGTAAGTCTTTAAAAAGTTATCCCACCACAACCGTCGATCCGACTCAATGGCAGGCGAAGCAGGCGAAAGAAATTTCTGGTGCTCCCGAGTGGGTGAGTGCAGGGCGTTCAAATCGAGTGGTCTTGGGAATGAGGGCTTGGGATACGAGGCAGGATCTTGCGGATAGTATCGACGGGAATTAGGCGAATGCTCAGACTAAATGTATAGCGTCAGTCGCTAATCAAGGGAAAATATTAATACTGCTAATTACCTTGGTCAAAATCGACTGATCTCCTGGGACGCGAGCGTCTATCGGGGAAGATGTTTGTGTCGAGGGGCTTAGCGGCTGGCCCTGCTGACGTTCAGCAGGTCTTGCTGCCGGTGATTGCTTCAGAGAACCACCACCCATAATTTCTTCAATCGGGGATGCCACTTCTGGTCGATTCGGGGCAGTAGTACGTTTTCGTTTCGGAGGAGGAGGAACTGAGCCGTCTGTTGGTCTCTTTTTGCAGGATCTTTGACGAGTCCCTGGACGCTTATCAGGTCCTCTACGTTTTGGGACTGCGTCATACTCGCAGACATTTGACCGCCGGACGCAGTTGTTGCAAACGGGTCTTGTAGAGTCGCATCGTATTTTGCGGCCCCGGCTAGTGGAAAAGAAAGATAGAGAGGGTCAACATTGCGCAAAATGGCTAAATGAAAGTTGGAAGATGCAAGGGAAGGTCGAATACTTACCACTGGCGACAAGCTATGACAACGGTAGAGATTTCCCTCCGAGGCTCCCGGACAGGATTAGTAGTGTTGGTTGTTGGAGAAACTTCTACACGTTCCGTTGGCGAAATCGGGGGGCGTCGGTGATCGTCATCGATGGAGACAGAAGGAATACCTCCGCTAACACGGTGATAAGTTGAGTCATGGGTCCCACCAGGCAACCGTCGTTCAGAAGAGCCTTGATATCTATAGTCGGCAGCAGAGCCACTGAGGGTGGGCGGAAGTCGTGCAGGCGGAACGTGGTAATCGCCTCGAAGGTGTGTGCGCGGTGAGGCGGAGAAGCCGCCATGAAATGCAAGGTCGTCAGACGCGGGGCTCGGGATTTCTAGTGCAGCGTCAATTAACGGAGGTTGTTGCACTAGCGTCGGCAAGTATTCAAATTGGGCGGCGTGAACTCCTTGCTGAATATGAAGTTGATCCTGCTGATACCGGACTTTATTTACGGAAGCAGATGAGAACAGGATTTACGAGGGAAGGAAAGAGTACGATGGCAACAACTTACAATTGTCACCGTTCGCAGGGGGATAGTGAGCTCCGAAAACTGGAGAATGGAGGCCTGACCCATCAGAGCTCGACTGGGGACCGTCTTCGTTGGCCATGCCTGGCTGAAAGGGAGAGTAGAGGTCGCCTGTCGAGCTCGCGACCATCGACGATGGGATGGAGATTGGAAAGGCTGAAATGGATTACGCACAAGGTGAAAGTGAAAGCCTGTAATGAGGCTCAAAGCCACGCGATTACACACCACAAGGGTAGCGTCAGTGCCCACGGTGGATAAGGAACGAAAAAAAATGAACTTCTCACTGGAAGATCAGAAGATCAATACATATGATTGTGCCATTAGATGGCTTGCCAAAGAGAAGAGAACATATCGGATTCCCAATCTTTTGTACTAACCCGATTTCGAGTGGGGGAAAAATGAAATGGGCTTAGAAAGAGGATTGACGGATCCTCAGTGGCTGTCACTGCCAAGAAATACGCCCGTCCCTTTGAAAGAGAAACCGGAAATATGTCGGCAAGGCGTACTCGATTTGAGAAAACACGAGAGCCTGCCGTAAATTCGCGTCAAACCTTATCCTGAAAAGGAAGAGTCTACTATTCTAGGCCCCGCTAATATCTCCGGTTGCCGCCGGCCCGACACTTAATGGGCTCCACGTGAGTGAAACGCGAGCGGCGCCTATCAAGGAACGTGACGGCAGCCAAGTTCTCCGTTCGTATGTTTTTATCTTTTGACTTTTGCCTTCAATTTACTTAACGTCGGTTTTTAGTGTGGCGTACTCAACTTTTCTGATTTTTTTCTCTCTCCCTCAACTCTTTCTCCCACGGGAATTGCTTGAGCTGCTCTGATGTAAACACTCTGATAGAACTAGCATCTGGCAACCGGAACTTTCACACCGTGAAAATGCATGACTGATATCACTGTGTCCTATTTATCCTACCTGCCTCGGATCCTCGTACCTGTGGCTCTTCTCGACCATTCTCGTGGCTCATGGCATCCTCTCTCATACGTCTGCTCTATGACACTTTGCGTCGATAAGAAGGCAGCGTCGTCCGACGCTTCGCCCGTGCTGAGGGACAAGGAACACTTTTCTGAATTGTCCCTTGATCGCCGCACGCTGATCGCCCATCGTCATCGTGACTTATTAGGTCGGAGCCGAATGTTCTAACCAGCAATCCTTTCAATTGACTTCGACTTCAGTTCCCAGAGTTCGGCATTTCGAGAGGGTTCAAACGGTCCTTTGCGGAAGCTTTAGTTACGGCTGATGGATCAAATGGTCCGGGCAATACCCGCTTATCCCCTCATCCCGTCACGTTGTCCCTACTGCGATCAAATCTACGCAATATTTGTATTCCATTCAGCATTCCCCATCGCACCCACCCTGGTTTACCAGACTTTCTGGCGTATGATGATCAGAGGGTCCAGAAAACTAGCTTTAAGCCCGTGTGTTGCTTTCCGGGCAAAGGCAATCCCCGCGAAGATTACGATCAACTTTGCGAGGGGATATCCGAGGACTGGAGGCTGGCCTGCACAGTAAGGGTATATTCTCGTCAAATTCAGCACAGATCGGCGACCCAGATTTAATATTTTAACAAGACGTCTTCCTCATTTCGAGTTTAATGATATCCAGTCAGGTCCTCATATACATACCTCTCCGTGCCTTTCTTTTCGGTGCAAGTATTGAAGAATTAACTCGATCGATCGTTTATAAGTAACAAACATAGTCTCGTTCCTTGATTCGACGATATTCGCTTGTTCTTAACGGCATCCGATCTCCTTACGCCCGCAAAGTCTTTCACGTAGGTTTGAAGGTTTTTTTTTCCAATGTCCAGCCACCGGCCGGCGTCTTCTTTAGTCCTGTCAAGAAAAAAAAAATTGAAGTGGGAATGACGGAACCCACGCCCCGTGCGAGTATGGGGTGGCGGGACGAGCACATTGCGAAAAAGTATGTGTATGAAGGGGAGACGATGCTGAGAGATAGGATTCTTCCGAGCATCGGGGCGTCGTTGTGGACTATAACAGTAATCATGTTCCTTAATCGTACTGGCCGAATCCTCAGGTATATACTACATCGGCATCCTAGGCAATATCAGCCGTCTAGGATCAGGGTAGATCCCGAGTCACTCAAATAAATCTCAATAAACAGCGTCTGGACCAGAGACATCAAATCCCAGGGATCATCTAGTAACAATGGAAGATCATTGAGATAGGGCGCCGAGATAAGACAACGAGAGAAATTTTCATTGTTCCTTGCCTCCCGCAGGGGCATCCTGTTCACCCGGGGGGCTCAGAACGGCGTGCATCCTCCGTTGATAATCAAGACGCAATTCAAACAACATAAACAGAACTCCGCCCAAGAAATTAGGTTCTAACGATGTCAAAATAGCCGACACGGGATTATGGTAATTTCATGAGTGTCACAGGAGATAAGTGGAAAGCAACAAAGCATCGGAGGGCACATCCCGAAGTCTGCTAGGACCGCGAGGTCTTGTCTTGAGCATATTCCTAGTAGGGACGGCAAAGAAGCAGGCCGTTTGACGGCCCAGACCTATTTACTCGGTACTGAAGGGGATGTCCTCGGGGTTGACGCTCAGTATAAGCTGAGAGAATCAAGACAATTCATCACAGAACATGAATAAGATTTCGACAGCCTGAGACCATCATAAGAATGTCACTCGTGAGATGTGCCCGCCTAACTGAAGGAAAGTGCATTGTATACAAGTTAGAGTCTCGGCCTTCTCCCGAAGCTAGTAGATGTCAGGGGGTTTGGTTCACATCGTTTGTTCCTGGATGCAAAACACCGAGAAGATTGAAAACGGCTGCCGGTGAAGTCAGAAGATATGGGGGACCTCCCTATATTGGGTCATTCCTGGAACGAGTTAGCAGAGTACGAGAGGGTAACGCTTATTCAGGGCTTATGGATGTGCGAAACTCTTGTCACCTTATTGTTCCATGTAGATCATGTACTAGAGGTAACCAGGGGACGTCAGCCCAGGTGCACATATCCCTCGGTAGCGCTGCCTGAACTACTGAGAGAGAGGTAGCGAACTGCTGCTAAAGTGCATCCGTCTTACCATCTGGAACTTTCAATGAGTGAGCTCCCGACGTCCGAAGAGCCAATCTTCCGAGATGGTTGCGGGACCTGATATGCAATGAAATCCTGTGATGCAAAGCTTGCAAGAATAAGTATCATTCAGTGTAAGTTGATCGCTATTAGAACCTAACGGAAATGAAGGACAGATTGAATGTGTGTTTAGCAGCGGCGTGGCATCTCGAGTTGGAACACAATCGTGAGACGATTTTCTATCTTCAGCTCAGAGATCCTATCCTTTCCAAGACAGAGAAGGCCGACCGGGTCTGAAAAGCGACCAAATGGACAACTTTTTCATGATTGTAAATTACGTGGCGCGTACCTTTCACAGGTGACGTCGTGACGACACGGCGGGTGGGAAGATTGTTCTATTCAAAGCACCTATCAGGCGTGTAGCCTCTTAGCGATGTCTGTAGCACATGAGGAGTGTCAGTTTTTGGCAAGCCTGAGTTTTAGTAGGAGTTTGGTCCACCAATCATTGACGGGGACGCAGCAGTTGCTTCTTCCCCCCATCACCACCATGGTATTAGTAGCTCCGGCCGATGCAAAAATGGCTAGAAGGATTGATTCAGTATGTCTGTGATATTTCAGACAAGGTCGGAAAAAGAAGGATAGGATGAGGAATAAGTTGCAGGCAGTAACCAGCAACATACCTCTAGGTCTATGCGAGGTGGACGACGTCGATTCCAGACGTTTAGATGAATATCACTATTAGCAACATGTTCAAATAAAGTCTTAATGAAAGAACTGGCATATAAAGATCCCAGTTAATCTCCGAGCACGTAGGTGATGAACGGGAAGGGCTAACTTCTCGATCCGGGTACCTTAGATGAGCAACCTGTAGAGTCGAAAAACCGCTAACATGTTCTAAGATATGCCGCGCTTTGGCGCAAGTGTGCTCTAAAAGAAAACAAGGAACAAAATAATTTGCGACGGCGATCTGTACTCTGTGGCAATGGAAAGGCAGAGATATTAAAAGAGCTCGGCCGTTGCTGTTGGTTACATTTCTGAGGGTTTAGAAGCTTGGACAGCCACCAGTCACTTACTCGATATTGCCGAACAATCTTTTAAGAACTCAAACTCTGAAGGACAAGAAATTAGTGGGCTGGCGAATTTTACGAAGGAATTGCCTAAAGTTTCATCGTGTAGGTCTTTGCAATGATAGCCTGCTATAATAAGCAAAGGCGCAGTAGGTGAAAGCTCATTGTGTAGGTCACTAAGAATTTGGAAAACGATTAACTAAATTGAGGAGGTGAAGTGAGCCTTCTTAGTGAAGCTATAAATAAAGCGTACCGAAAATACAGAGAACCCAGGGGTATCGCGAGGCATGTTATCATTGTTTGTTAACTATAGAAAGGCGGATGCGCTGAATGCATTACGTGCTTGCGATGCAATATATTGGGCATTGTAACCGGTGTCAGAAGAGAGAAGCGTCCGCGTGTTGCGCAATGCGCAGCGCTTTCAATGTCGTCGGCAAAGGGAATAAAAAAACCTTTGCCGGTAGGTATACCGGGCCGACATTCCGGACCACTGGGTTGGAAATTTCATCCTCTGGCGCGACATTTAGGCCGCGTCCTGTTCCAATGGTGGGATCTCTAGCCTCGGTAGCGGCGCCATCCCAGAGTCTTGATAGCCGGGCGTCTCCCGACACAGTGGGGTCACTGAGGTTTTTCTAGCAGAGAGGAGACGTCCGTTACGATATTTGGTTGTGGGCAAGATGGTGTCAATTTAGCAGAGTATGGCTCGCATTTCCCATCGATGTATCAAAGTTCCATGCGAAGCTCCCATCATAACCGAAGCCAGTCGATGTGAGGATTATTAATGCTCTCAGGACTGACAATCGATTACTGATTGATACCCCACTGAACTCCACTACCGCGAGTTCTGAAGCTTGCATCAGGAACGTATCAGTGTATACATAAAGATATAAACCAACCCAGTTACATACAGCCACTGTGCGGACAGTGAAAAACATTCATTGTGCGATCTTCAAGCCCAGCCCAACAGCTGCGAAACATACACCCGTAAATATTGCTAACAGAAGGCGATAACTGTGATGGAAAATGCTCACCCTAAAGGCTAACGCAAATAAAAGAGCAAGCATCGGAAGATGTTGAGGCACCGAACATACACTAGACCTTGATCCAGCAGAGAAAGATTCGAAGGGTCGACATGCCCTGTCAGTAACTGCATCCCACACAACAATCGTATCAATATCAGAAGGCGAAACGATTCAAAGGCGACAAACATACCCGCGGGGTCGAGCGGCATTGCTGTCAATCATGCAAAGCACGCGCTTCTGCATCCGGCTGTCAGTCTCTCGATGATAATCGAAGTCTAACATTCAATGATGAATCAGAAAGGAACGAACAAACTGCAATGATGTATATGCACCTTGACATCTAGCTGAAGCGATGGTAACATGCGTGTCTAATATAGGACTCTCCGACGAACGGGAAGTCCTCAGGTACGGCTGTCGTGTTGCTACAACAACCGACAGACTGGGAAAGTCGCTTTCCAAGCGCCCTGGATACGCCGCAATTCTTGGGGCTGCACAGATGGTCAACGGCGTCCATGACCACGTCGTGACATAAAAAGATGGCCAAGCTGATGACCCTTTCACCGATAGCCGCGGACGACGTACGGATGGGACACCGTAATTGGAGAGCCATTAGTGTATGATACACGAAAATAAGTTCAACATGCCTGACTGATACCATATCCTAGCAAGTCGGTATAGATGTTCGCGGAGGTTATACCTTAACATAAATACACCACTAATTTGCAGCAGCTCCACTTGCAACATACATATTGCAATGAAAGTACTGATACAGAGCCTGTCAAGACTCGTAGGAGTCCAGGTGATATGTTAACATCAGCGCTAGGCGATATATGTTAGTAAATCAGGCTAACGAAAGGTTGCGGTTGGTCGTAGGCGCACCTTGAGGTCTTTTCGTTGATACCGCGGGGTAAACAGACCATCCCGCGCGTGCACAACCACAACCCTATAGAGTCGTGGGCATGATATTCAACTCTGAGATAAAATCATGTCCACCGACTCCAAGTCTCACCGAGACACCAAATGGCAAGGAATCACTGAGCGCTGGCTTGTTACAGAATTGAGAAGCGCACTCTAGCGGGCCGAGGATCGTATGAATCTGATTCAAAAGTTATTCCGCCGGCAGACCGGTCAATGTTGTGCGTTTTGAGAGGCTCAGAACCAAGGATACGGTGGAGACGGGCAGGTCGGCAGTGACGCGAAGATAAGCTGGGGGTATTCCCTTCTCTGGACAGGCCCAAGGCATAGACTATTCCCGAGCACAAGACGTTCGAATGTACTCCGTAATCATACCCTAAAGAAATACCAGTCCACAGACTACAGGGCAGCCTGAAAAAAAAAGAAATCAATCAAGAATACTGTACTAGAAATGCAGGGGGATCGCACTAGAGAGAGGTATCCATGATTCCTTCTAAATAACATGCAGCATGTTTTCTCCTTGAATCCATCGAGAATACAGAAAGTGGAGCAGGTTGCTGCTGAGCGCTGAACGCTTGAATTTCAAATGAGAAAGTATTTTCAATTGAGATTGTCTATGTTTGCCTGAGACGTCTCGGTCCGAACGCCCACGTCCCAGTCCGATCGTCCACGTCGAGGACGAGTTCCCCTTGCATCCACTGTGGTCACACTCCCCTCGCAGTCTCATTATCATTCCTTTTCACTTTAGATATCAAGTTATCTCGGTCAGTGTGCTCATATTCACCCATTGTGCGGTCCTAATGTTTGCCGGAATATTCATAGGTCAATCAGATTGTATTTGCTGATCGAGTCCTCACCTTGAAGCTATAAACAGTAGCACTCGGAAGGTTAGTGCATCACTCTATCATGCTCAAGGGAGAAAAAAATATACTGAGCTCTTTTCTGACTAAAAAGGTCCATGTCTCCTTCTGATCTCCTTTCTGGCGCCGATGATTTCATACTAGCAGGATCACTTAAAAGCTTGTACGAAAACAATGAGCCACCATCAAACGCGCAAGAGAATATTCTACGTGATGAGCTTGCGCGTCGTCTCGAATCCTTGTCATACATCGACGAGAAAATTGCCCGGCTACGAATGGAGCTCGAAGCCCATTTACGTGCGCGTGATGCCATTTCCTGCGAGATTGACATCATCAAAATTGGCCTACATCCAATTCGTCGCCTTCCCGATGATATCTTGACTGTAATTTTTGGTCATTGCGTTCGAAATCCTGCCAAGCTGTTTGATTCATGGGATAGGTATGACTACGACTCTCTGGTAATAGACGATGCTCCATGGACAGTATCCTATGTTTGCCATCAATGGAGAGCGGTGGCGATAAACACAGCACGGCTATGGTCGTGTGTTAACCTGATTCTTGGTGATGGCGCAGAGTTGGGGAATGGCGAATACCTTCTCGAGCTTCAGCTCCAGAGACTTAAGGGGCATGAGATCAGTCTTTCGATATCGAATCCCTACGATGATCATGCGTTACTCCCATTGATCATTCCAAAGTTTATTTCTCAGTGCACAACTCTAATGCTGAATGTTTCACACACCTTTTTCCACACTTTGACCCCGTATAGCGGGTCTTTCGGCCGCGTCACGCACCTCGCCTTGCAGGTCAACCCCCGCGCCGAGAAACCGAGGGGGATGCTTATCCGAATCGATGCTTTTGCCGCGCTTCCTTCGCTGAAATACCTCCATGTCACAAAATCCATTGGACCGTTCGACGTACCCTTTCACAATCTAATAGAATACCACGGTTTCGAGGCTAATAACGCAGAGCATTTCGATGTGCTCCGGATGTTAGCACAATCATCCTCGCTCACTCGTCTGTATCTCGTATGTCACGAAAATGAATTCGCCTCGCATCCGGTTGACATTATCACCCTCCCCAGCCTTCGTCATTTATCACTCTGCGAGAACTCTTTCACCGTGACGGAGGGGGCCCTTGCTCAGATCTATGCTTCCCTTCGCCTTCCTTCCCTGGTCTCTCTGAAAATTGAATGCAGGGACCAGGGCCTACGCGCCGTATTTCCTCTGGCGGACATGTCCAATCTTTGTACGGCTACCACACTTGAAGTATGTGCCAATCTTCGCAGCACGGGGGGAAGTCCTGTGTCCTTCGCACGCTTCCTGCTGTCCACACCGAATGTTACAGACCTTCGAGTCCGCGTCGATCCCCTCTCTAACGCCTTTCTCGCCAGACTTATTGTTCTTTCCGATCCCGACGTCCCCCTACTCCTGCCGAAGCTCACTTCGTTAGACCTGCGCTCTTCACAGTTTAGAAGCCTGAACACCGGCTTCGTGAAGATGGTGGAGTCTCGCCGACGTCCATCTACCGTTGAAGGGCCGAGCGAGGGCCGCACCTGCAGCATCCTCCAAGAAATACGTTTAGATTCGCCATTGGAGACCTTTGATGATGAGGAAACGGGAGAACTTTGGAGAGCGTTGTTGGAGGATGGACTGGTTGTAAAGTGTGATAAGGATGGACTGGATCCCCCAGAAAGTGAGTGGAGCTCATCCGACGCGGGTAGTGGCTCGGAACGTAATGATTAAGCGGAAGGGTGGATATCGGGCAAGCATTTACTTTGTTCTGTCAAGCGCAACTCGATAGAATATCTGACTTAGACGAGCAGATACTTTATAAATAATGATACTTGATTCATTTATGCTCATGGATCCGATATCTTGTTGCTTAGGGTTCTGAGACCTCATTGCTTGGAGCGGGGGTGCCATTCCATCGCTAGATGAGAGGAAGAGTGAATATAAATTTCTCTGATTGGTTCTGTGGGACATCATGTCATTAGGCTCTACGTATCGTGTAATGAAGTCGCTCGTGGGTCCGAAAGGCTTAGGGATGCCCACCATGCCCGTATACGGGTACGGCCATAAAATGGTTGTACGGTATTTACAGATAGAATTAAAATATATAGCTACTGTACAACTAATTATCATCATCAAGGACAATGTCAATGGCCTCGTGTGCCTTTCGAAGATGATGTTTCACGAACATCAAAGTTTTAATAGTTTCTGGCTGTAGTCTAGCATGGTGCAATGAAACTAAATCTCTTCCAGGTGAAAATATGTCCTCTACAACTACTGCAGAACCTGATAGTGTCAACTGAAAGGCTCAACCTACAATGTATTGTGCAAGTACTATACCTGGAATTGTCATGATATCTCATATACCACCACTGAATTGGGTTACAGTGCTTGAAGTCTTCTTGAGGTACTGGAAGTAGCAATTGAGCTCCTTGATGGCTGCTGTGGAAGCTGACTTTTTATATCATGCAGAAAAATGTTTTGGTGGTGAATTTGTTTTATGTAGTGTTGGGATCTAACTGTGTTCTCAGCAAGCACCAAGGACCTTCCTTTGTCCCACCACTATTTAGCTAGCATAGTCCTTATTCTACCCCTTTCTTTAGTCTCTTAATGTACCATCATGTTGGAGCTGAGTTAACTCTCTTATATATCCAGATTCTAATGGATTATAGGTGTACATCTCAAGTTCTGAGCTGAGAGTTATTATCTAGATCATTCTTGTTTATTCTATGTTGATATGGATACATGGAACCACAAGTTCTTATCTCCCCTTCTGCACATTTTTTCTGATTTTATGCCACCCTGCCACTGAGATGACATGACAAACCTCTCAGAAACCCAGCTGACTACATCATCCACCATCACTCCTCTGCCTACAGATGTGACAAAACTCTCAATATCTGTTATGATAATCCAGAGCTCCATATTCACCACAGCCAACCTTGACAAACAAGTCAACAACTGGCAAGAATGGAGTGGTGACATCCTCAACTGTTGGAACATCTTGAAAGACAGTCTGAGAACAGAATAGATTCCTCTCTACTCCAGAATGGCCCTCTATCTATACTGGCCCCTGATGTACATATGCTACTATCCATCTCCATCTCCTCTGCCTACTTTCTGATCTGCCTCCACCTGACTGCCTTCCTCCTTCTGTCTTACACTCCTTCTGCCTTACACTTCCAATGCTCTCATGTGCCCCCCTACCACATGGCACCACCCTGGTGCTTCTCTGCAACCCTAGCACTGATTGAAGGATCCTTCCTTCCTTCCTCCTCCTGCACCACACTCTCATTATTGCTTCTTCTGACAAAATCCTCCTCTTTGTCCTCCATGCCATATTCATTGGCCTCCTCCTGTGTACTCTCCTCCAGGGGAAGTAACACCTCTCCACTCTCTAACCTTGCCATCCAGTCCTTCTCATACCATTTGAGCAAGAATCCCACTAGTGGAATGAACCTCCAGAGTCTCCTTATATGGAACCTCCCTTTGAGAGGTACACTAGCCACTGTTGCCACCATGTATGAGTTCAGTATGTGTTCTGTTATTCTCAATGCACCTGACCACCTTGATAATAGTTTCTTCTTTGCCAGCATCATCTTGTCTAGGCATGTGTTAAAAACCTATACAAGCTTCATCTCTGCAAACACTATCTGGTCAGGCTTCAAGCTGATGACCCTCCTATTGAACATCTGTTTCTGCTTCTCCCCATGACTGACCACTCAGGCATATCTATGCAGGCATTGCTGCTCAGAATATGCCATCTGTCTCTCAACATTGTCTTTCAACACCTTGACCACTATATCAGCCAAAGCAGATAGTCTGGAATTGATGATTGTGCTAAAAAAGGGCTTGTTTGGTGTGTGATTGAGGTGTCAGAGTATGCACATATTCAATATGTAGATCATCCTGTCAAAGTAGTCTGGCCAGTGGTATGATAGATCTTCTCAGACTTTGATCTCCATTCAACCCTCCTCTCCTAAGTCCAGTGCACAGAGTTGAGCTAGAATGGCCAGAAGGATCCTATTCATTCTTTCAACAAGTCCATTGACCCAAGGTGAGTAGGCTGTGATAACATGATGCTTGCAGCCAAAGGTTGCACACATTTCATAAACCTCCTCATTGTTGAATGGTGAGCCATCATTTAATATGAATGTGTCTCATAGTGAGTATGATGTGAACAGAGAATGAAGAGCAGACTTTGTGGTCTTCACTGATCTATGAGTCCTGTACTTGAAGCCAAAATCTACTGGCTGTGCATGCCTAGATACAGACCAACCTCATGGAATCCATCTTTTCCTTTTTGGTATAGTCAAATAGTCACTGACTAGTAGTTCAAAGGGGTGTCACCATATGATTCATTCCAGTAATGCATGGAGATGAGTCCCACTGAAAGCCTTACACTGTCTGCAGTTCAGAATAACTTCATTGATGATCTGGTCCAACCCTGAGCACTGGTACTTGTTCATAAGTGCCATCTTCATTGTATCTCACCTCTGATGACCCCCATGCTTGTGTTGCAGCACCACTTTTAACCTCATCTCCTCTGAAGTGAGGCATTCTACTCTAGCTCATGTCTATCTTAGGCTGCTGCCACCTAGGTGCCACAGCCTTCCACCATCTGTCATATACTCTGCTGCTTGATGTGCTGCTCACCATATAGAGCTGCTGTCATCTGAAAACTCTGTGAGAAGGGCCAAGGCCTTGACAATCTTCACATAGGCTGGTATGTTCTTGAATCAGTCAAGAAGGTGCCTTGTATCATCTGAGATGCTCTCTGGGGTCACTTCTGCACTATAGATATTGAAAACCAGCCCATCACCACTAAACTAGTCTGGGCTAACAATCATTATACTACCATTCATCACTGAATGAGGGCTATCTGTCCCTTTTCTGCTGAGCACATCACAAACAAGGTTTGTACTTTCTGATATGTGTCAGACATTGACTATATTGAGGCTTGAATGTATTTGTGTTTAGCCCAAGCATCACGTGGACAGATACACGTGATAAGCAGGTGTTCCTTCGCACTTCGAGGAATCACCTGAGTTCACTTTATATATATCCGAACGGTGTGACTCAAGGTCAGATATAGACTCGAGGTAGAATGGTATGTATAAACTTTAGCTCGAAGCTGGGTTTTACCAGCAAGAGCATTGGTCCTTAAATACTATCCAGATGTCTCCTAATTATACTACTTGCTTATTATGTGTGTCTGTATCCATGGTGCTCGTTGTCCTTGAGCATCGTTACCATACATAAAAGGATGATTGTGCTGTTGTTGGGCTCGACTGTCATAGTGACAAGATGGGCAAATTAGTTGTGCTGACTAAGCTTCCCATGGTCTTGTGCCTCCTGACTAAGCATGAATAGAGGTGAAAGGGAATAAAAGGGGAGAAATTCGTAACATTACCCCCCGCTTAAGACCATCGTCCCGATGGCTTAATTAAGGGATAATTCATAGTTGTGTATGGCATCATCAGCGTTCATATATTTTTCGTTTATCCATTGGTTTGATTCCACGCCGTAAC